TAACTATTCTAAGTAGAAGCCCTATATAACTTTTCTATTCTATATACTAGAAAGATATTTATAATTTATATTTAATTTAAAGGATTTAATAAAACCTTTACAAAAGAATTCTACCTGCTCTTTAAAAAAATAAATAATTATAAAATTAGTTCTATTGTTAAGAATTTTTTAAATATACTATTTAATAAAAAAATTTAGCGATTTACTTTTAATAAGACTCTAGTATATAAATTTATACGAGTATTTAAATTTTGGTATTTTAATTAATATTCGTATATTATAGTTTTAAGGCTTGAAATTCCTAATAACTAAATAAGAGTATAATATTTTTTAATTACTAACCGAACCCTATTAATATTATTAAAACTTATATATACTTAGTTAATAATATTTATACCGTATTCGCTAAAAAACTAAATAAAATATAGGTTGCAAGTTAAAGTCGCTAAATTATAAATTAATTAATAATCAATCTTTAATATATTATTGATATTAGAAATTTACTTACTCTAAATTATATTAGGGTCTCCTACTCTCTATAAAACCCTTATTAAATTATTAATAATATATTGAAGAGTTTTATTAGGAGGTAGTAGTAGGTATATATATTGACTATAGGAGGTTATAATAATATATAGAATAGTTTTAGTATTGGTTAGAACGTAAGTATTAATAATAATATTGCAATTTTAAATTTGGATAGCACTATATCTTTATAGGTATTCGATTTTTAATTTATTACTAATAAATCTTTAATAAATATTTAAAATAAAGAGGAAAAATCTATTTACTATATCTAACCTTTCTTACTAATATAAAATATATTTTAGCACATACCTCAATATACAATAGTTTGGGTATAGAGTCCTTTAAATAACCTTCGATTATTAGCTTAATATTTAATTAGAATCGATTAAAGTTATTAGGGAGGCTAGTAAAAAAATATATCCTCTCTCCCGGCTTTAAATTCTAACACTTTAACCAATAGCGAATATAATTAATAATTATTTTAATGGAAATAAATTAGGAATATAAGTAATACTAATTATATGAAGTATATTTTAGATAGGAAATATTTTATTTATATATTAAATAAATTTATAAAATAGCCTCAATTCTTTATAACCCTATATTCCCCAACGCATTTTAGCCGCTTATACCTAACTAATTATAAAAATTATATTAATAAATAATAATTATCGTTAATTAGGTTATAGTAATATAATTAAAGCCGGAGATAAATTATAAATAAATTTATACTTAATAATTCGCTTAGCTAAAGGGACTTTATCCTATTAAAGGCGGATTTGAAATAAATGGTTTATAATTTCTTCGTCGATTATAAATATAAACCCTTATTTATATACCTACCAAACTCTATAATCTAAATATTCATAGTATTTAATACCGGTACATTTATATATAATACAATAACAAACAACGTTATTCAAATAGCTAAAGGAAATTTCCTTCGCAAGCATTTTCTTCGCAATATAATACTAAATCTAGGATATAAAAGAGTAATTAAATATTAACCTTATTTATACTACTATTTTATTTTAAAATACTACTATTATATACCTCGCTCTACGGAGCCTTAACTTAATCTTCGGTTAAATTATTAACGTTTATAACGTATATTACACCAAGAATAGAAGATTCGGGGTATTCTAAAATAGTAATTATATAATATATTATTTTAATAAAAATAGAATATTAATTAATACTATTAAATAAAATAAACGTTAGACTTATAGTCTCAACCTTTATATAATTAATATTATAAAATTAATTATTAATTAATATGGAATATATTTAGGATATATCAATAATATAATACAAAATTTACTAGGAGGTTATTAGGTATTATAATATTAAGAGGGGTTATATCCTTTAAATCTTTTAATTTATTAAATTCAGCTATTATACTAGTAATTTACTATAATTCGAATATAATAAATAATTTATTAAATACTTTATTATTCTATTTAATTAAACCGAACCTAGTAATAATAGTTAAGGTATTAGTGTTAAAAATAGGGTAAGTGTTTATTTTATATCGAGTATAATAAATTAGAAATTAATTAGGGATAGATTATGTAAGTATTATTGCGAATTATTGCGGAAGGTTTATAGAAGGGTGAGTTCGGGTTGATATTGTTCGGATTTGTGCGTTTCTTATTCGTAGGTAAATTTCGTTTATTAGGATTAAAAGCGCCGGTTATTTTTCTATAGGGAAAGTTAAAAGGTATATATACGATGTATTAAAGGGGTGATGGTCAGCTGAGAGATTTTTTATAGTGTGGGGTCGGTCTTGGCGTATCCACTTGGGTCAGGAAGCTTTGGGTATGGGGTCGGGTTATATAAGTACTCGTTTCTTGGAACAATTCCGCATCCATTCCATGTGCGTGTGGATGTTGTCTCCATTGCAACTCTGTACTCATTGGATTCAGTTTTGATGATCGTGGTCGTCCTGCGTACCCGGCGCGCTCATTCTGCTTAGAGCACCTTTAAGAGTTTGTGCCTTACTCCTTCCTATTTTCCTGTGATACACCGAGCACGGCATGCGCAACCCCCCTCTTCGGATTCCGCCCTCGTTTGAGGGTAATCATGCCGCGATTGTCGCTTAAAGATAAGTAGCGTAAGTACCTCCAAATTATCAACGGTGCTACTAAACCCGAAAATAGTTTCTCCCCGTCGTGGAGCGGATTCAGTCCTCCGCAATTTACAGGCTGCCTTCTCTCTCACCACCTGCCGTAGTGCCTTTATTAGAGCACTTGGGTTTCGATCGTTTCAAGCGGCCGTCTGCAACGCCTGTCCAACGGTGATAACCAGAACGAGTCATCCAAGCGGTCCGGAAAGAAAGGGTTCACGACCTCGTGGATGTCCCTACAGTAGTAGATTAGCTATCCAGAGTCTGTTAATGTCCAAAAATACCACCAAATGCCACATCGGAACGGGGATCTTCAAATAACTTAGCCTTATACTGGCTAGGCTCGCTGGGCGCCGACACCACCACCAACCCACGCCCACTGCGCCCACTGTGTCTATCCGAGGCCACTCACATTGGCTTTGACGAAGGAAGACCAGGCATGTCTCACTCTCACACGCTTCCAGGAACACGGGCAGCGCAGAGCCTGGTCAGGGTTCAGGGTCGCCTGGACTCGAGACTAACCTCGGAATGGAGTTGAATCCGCAGTATGAGACCCACAGAGGTATGCCAAACTCTTCCATCATCGCCGCCGTGAACCGGGAGCTACCTTACAACAAGCAGAGTAGATTTCTCTGCTGTGGTTGTCCAAGGACGTCAGGGTACCGAGCAGTGACCAAATTACTGCCAAAATATAGCCATACCATGATATCTATAAGTAGTGTATACTACTGGTGAGCCATGGGCACCGTGGCTCATTCTCAGGGCCGGGCCATCACGACCCGTCTCTCCGGCACGAGTCATGGAACCGGCTTTCACTTCGAATGTGAAGACAACAGACCAGGAAAGGCCAGTCGCAGGCTTGTCAGGGGACTTCTTCAAATCCTCCAGCCCCTCGGGACACCCATGTCCATTGAGAATGGCGTTGACCCAGTTTCCGGATGCGCCCCCTTGTGGCGAGACACAAGCGGATTGCACAAGGAAAGCACAGCGTCCACCATGGCTCTCAATGGCACCAGAGATCTTTTGAGAAGCGGTCAAGGGCCGATAGCTCCGCTAACTGCCCGGACTCTCTGTGCCTCTATGCGTCTCGGCCGGCTCTTTTTCTTTTCCTCACTTCTGAATGGCCATAGCCGGACATTCACGCTACAAGTGGGGACGCCTTCCAGCCTTTTCGATTCGCTTTCTTCAAGTCAACACACCTCACACCACACCAGTGAGTCAGGAATAATGTTCACATCAAGATCGACTTGGTGATTGCAGTTCACCCCTGGTTTTGTTCGTTGGCGCGAGACTTCAACACGCACTCTAGTACACTACGCAACTCAACTACCACTCTACCAAACTGCTTGTATCAACCAGAGATATATTTGGACGCGTTATACGTTACCCAACTTTTCGTTTGACAATGCATTTCCCGTCATTCTTCTATGTATCTTTGTAGACCTCTGTCGTAAAGGAACCGCGCTAACAAACAAACTACGCAGTAGTAATGAACTGTAATGTAGTGTAGTGTATGGGAGAAGTGGCTCTGATCGCCAGATAGCTGCTATGTAGGTCACAAGGGCATACATAGTACGCAGTAGACCTCTGCAGGCATTCGCTTTGTTAGCGCGGTGAACTTTGCAAGTGGCGGTTACTCTATTTTTCCTACAGCAGATGATTGGTGTGCCCACTATCAGCCATTCAAATATTGTGAGGTGGCGGTACCACGCTAATAAAGTAGATGCCGGCAGTGTTGTAAGTTCAGCCTACAACATTAACCCAAAACAAGGCGAAAAAAAAAAAAAAAAAAAAAAAGTGTGTATAGACATGACCGTCATCGTCTTCTACGGCGCTGCCAGAGCTGCTAAAAAAGAAGCAGCAAAGTTGCCGTGGTAAGATTACCAGATCGAGAGCTATTACATTTGCTGTCAATTATTCGAACTCGTCGTCCTGGCTTGGCCGAACTCGAATCTATTTTGACGGTGAAGAGTCGGCAGCACAGGCAATTAAGGACTCAGGCACAACACTCGTATATAATCGCATACACCCGGGAACGCAAAGGCACTGAGCACTTTGCAACCCATATCAACAGTCAACGACGCGCCCGAGAGCTATTCTGCCTCTTCAAGAGGAAATAAATCTACACAACGTGGTATCCGGCGGCGGCGGCACAGACGATGCATGGCTGTCATTGTTGTCAGAACGCAACCCTCAGTTGGCTCTGAGTGACTTTCTTGCTGCTTACTCATTTGCTGGAGAGCAGCCACGTTATCCACTCCAAATTGCACTACACTACACTACACTACAATTCTCACTTGGCAACCGTTGGCGTTGAGTAACTCTTTCAGCACCCCGAGACCCCCGGATGAACTCTAGGTCAGTGATGGAGGTGCATCATGTCATTGGCTGTGCAAGCACTGGGTGGTCTCAGTCTTCACTGCGATGACGGGACCATAGCCTCACGTGCCCAACACCAGAACGAGTGTGGGTGATTGTCTGGATGGTGACGTCCCCTTGTCCTATTCAACCCTGTAAAAATCAGCCGAAACTACCCTCATATTATGACGCTCCAAAAGGCAGAATTCAATCCGAGAGTTGCATATCCATCATTCGCGGCGGCCTCGAGACTATCGACTGCTCTTCAATAAAACACACCGCGGAGCTTCACAACAGTCAGAACGATCACAAGCCTATAAAATCTAGCGACCATGCTTGGGCGTTGTCGATAAGCAGCGGAATCATTGAAAGCGCTCGGTGCGGGGATGGGGCGTGTGCAGTTTTGAAGGTGCACTTTGGGGAATCGAGACGCACTTTTTCCATCCGGGCGTATTCAGGGAAAAAAAAAAAAAAACAAGAAAGAAAAACAAAAGAAAGAAAAAATAGGCCAAGACGAATCATTGTCGTGTCGTTTGTCGTCGTCGTCAATGTCCCTGCGTGCCATTGTGGTCTGGTCCGGAGGTCCAAGTTGAGAGATTTGGCACGCCGCGTCCGTCTCCGTCCGGAAGTTTCCGTTTGCAGATTCATCGGAGTATTCTCCGGCCCTGTGCCCCGAGTGTCTGGTGGCTGCCGGTCTCCCTGCGCACGTCCTTCTAGCACTAAGTGGCACTGCTGTCCTTCTTGTGCTCATCATCAGAGCGCCCGTGTCCTTTGGGATTCATCGGACGAGCAACTCTTCAGAGGTACGTATGTACACTAGTTACAGTACCTGGCCAGAATCGGCGTTTGGTGTGGTGGGTTTGGGCAGAAACAAGGAACCCTTCACCAAGAGGAAAGCGGAGATGCGACTCGGTCGAAATGAAGCTACAGTAGCGTGTCGAGAGGCTTCTGATCGGGTCCTCGGGAGGAAGCTCTGAAGAAAAAAAATTATATGCCGCAATCTCTTCTTTTTCTCCATCTTTACCCCAGGCCCCCCGGGCAATCCCTGAAGTTCCGGGTTATACCTGGTCGATGATGTGAAGAAAGTTTTTTTTTTTTTTTCTCTTTTTCTCTTCTTTCCCAAAAACAGGCCGATACAACATGACAGAAGATGACCCTGATGCCTCCATGTGCGTCAACGACACTCTGTGTGTGGACCACTCTGGTGGCCTGCCGTAGCGCACATTATCAATCTCGGGTTTCCCAACAAGAAGACGTCCTCCGTCCGGTCCGTGATCATCATGTGATAGCCGTCTGACTGGCATCATCTCCACCATCACCACGACATGGCTTGGACTGGCCCTTCTTCCCACCCCGAGTTGGAAGGAGCTTCATCAGCAGCCACCTCTTTCACGCCCACGTTTCCGCTCTGTGGGAAATTGTAACTTTACGATACGTACTAGGTACCGCAGACGAACAGCCTCGCTGCGAATGTGTTAATCCCTTTCGAGGCTGCTGCGTACCCTCGTGGCTAGCAAGACTTTTTTGCTTGCGAACGGCAGTCGGTCTGTTGGTTGACATGAATCAGATATGAGGTGACCACTTAGAGAAACCCACTAGGCGTCCAAGTGGGGGAGGGAATTCAGTGTACGAGTCTCATGCAGCTGACAAAACACAGTTCGCTGCTACGTAGCATGGAAGGGGTCATATCGGGCGCTTCCATCGCCTGCAATCTGGAAGTCACGGCGCAAAGGTGGAAAGGTAAACTCATTCCTACAACCCTACACTATATACATGCATTGCAGAGGGATGTGTACCATCAAAGGCCAGATGGCGCGGATCAAGGTCCCTCCTCCTCCGCTTTGCACGCAGGTACTTCACAATTCAATCCCCTCTTCATCACTGGCAGCTCGACTTTTTGAGGCCTTCTCTCTGCCTAGCATTCTTGTCCCCTCTTCTGCGTAGACGTTACATTACGTTCGAGGAAAGCCGCAGGCGGTTAGGGACCAACGAGTTACCAAATCAAGGGACTTGACCTTTAAAAATCCGCTGGGTACATATCCAGAGGTGTGTCATGGAACCGTGATCCTCCTTGGACCCGTTACTTGACAGCATTGAAGGGGACGAGGCAGTGCTGACGATGCCTATTCCCAAACTCATGGCGCAATCAACATGAGATATCGAATTACAAGTCGGGCCAGTTCAGGCTATTAGCCAAGGCGGCAGGCAAGACATAAGAACCCTCATGTCTTGGTGTTGGAGCACAAAACGGTCGCAGGTTGAGCTGATCTCTCATTTCCCACGTTGTGTGTGTCTTGGAATGGCGGACCAATCTAGAAGCATCTTCCCGCAGGGCAAGGGAGAGAGATGGTAGGTAGGAGGGTAGGTGACCGTGAAATGGGATAGGCGAGTCACTAACAGGAATAGCTGCAATTCTCACCAAATCTGGTATCGGTTCCGCGCACCCCATTTCCGGAGGGGGGGTAATGCAGTCCTTGTCAGAACGAACCCTTTCCTTTTTCTTGACCCTTCTACAATGCCGATCTCGAAGAGTATGCTATGGTACACGTGTAGTCCCTGGATTTATTCTTCCTCCCCACGAATGAGATCGTCGCCACTGTTGTGATGGCAGGCACGATAGGTAGGCAATAATAATTCATTTCTTCCCCTCGTGGCCAGACGTTGACAGCTTGCAAGCACTCACTCTCTGCAAGGTGAGGTTTACTGAGGAGACCGACGAGCTGATCAACAAAGTACAAACGCCTTGCAACTGACTCACACAGTTACGTACATCGATTACGACTCTTGATGTGACACAATTTGGGAAGCTCTTCTGGCCTTGATCTACATCGTTTCACAAACCGGCCCAAGCTCGGATATCTTCACGATGGGAGAAGGAAGGTATAGTTACTCAGCCACGTTCCGGTAGTAACCAAATCCCACCCTGCGAACCGACCTACGTATTCGACTTCTATCGTCTTCGAGTGGCAAACTCAATTTCCCAGTTTGCCAAGATGAAAAAGATGACTTTCGATTTTAGGAAAACACATTCGAACTGCTATGACGAGCGTAGACGAGTTCGTGATACATACGCTTGGGGATTTATATTTCGCCCATCATCGGTGATTTTTCTTTCGAGGATAATTCAAAGTCGTCCATGTGCAGAAATTAACCGGTACGACCATACATTGCCCGTTCCGGACACCGGAGCGGACCTGCCAAGTCTCCCCCAAAGTCAACTCAGGTGAAGCTCGAAGAAATGTACCATATCGGATCATTTCAACAACAAACTGCATGTTCCTGTTCGGCTCGGTTAAGATTACCTGGAGTAAATGACATAGAAAAGGCAATGTGGGCAGGTATTCCCTAAATTGACACACCCGAATCCCTCATTCAAGAACTACTACTTCTGAATCGGTCCGGTTCCAGGTTGTCTGTGTTGTTTGTTGTCCGTCATCGAGATCCTCTATCATTCCATCTCTCTTCTACGTCAATGAACTGGCAGATAGCTCTATCATACGGAAGAACTGAAAAATTTCCCGCAACTGACGATGACCCAAATGAAATGATATTTAATACTCGTCTGCCAGATGACACTTACTCGCTACCGGCCACACGGTAGTGTACCGGGGAACATTGGCTAGCTAGCCGCTTTCCCTCCAGAAGAGTTGGTGGAACTGTCCAGGTAGGTAATAACACCACACCTCTAACGAGGACATTCTCATGTGTGTCTTACTACACATGAGAATTCACGGGTGTAAATGGCTAGGCTAACATTAGATAGTCGGAGGGTTACCCTAGGCTAGGTGTTTGGTAAGATCTAGAGTGGCCGAGTTGTGTTCGTCATGACCCAAGCTAAGGCCAAAGACGTAAAGACCTGGCGAGAACATCATAGGCAGCGAGATGCTTGCCATATCAATCCCTGATAGTTACCTAGCGGTGACAGCTACGATGATAACAGCAGATATCGTCATCAGCTGGCTACTACCTCACAGAGCTTACGTACCTCTAGCCTAGGCAGAAAGCTTTGAGTTTTCATGGTCTAGGCATCCAATCTGGCTTGGTCCAGTGAACGTATATCCAATGTTGTCTACTGCATCACCTTGATAGCAAAGTGTTAATCGGAATGAAGGCCTTCCTTTCGGTTCAGTCCTATAAACAAAGTTGCCTGCTAGCTGGAGTCTTGGAGTCTGAGTGGTGCCGCTACATAGATGCCCAGCCTATACCTATACATAGAGTAAAAGTGACTATCGTCAAAGTCGCCCGCAGCTGGAGATACAGTAAAGTTGACACACCAAAGAGGGACGAAATAGACGGTCGACAAAGTCGGTCAGCACAATAGCTGTGGATGATGAAATGTCCAAGACTGAGGACTGTGCAAATGAAGAGCAGACGTGTACTTGAGCCGCTGATGAATGTCCACAGAAACTAGGTGATATACTTTCGGTTACTCAAGTTATGTTCTTTACATCAGTTCATCTGTTGCACATGAAGAGCACAGAGGAGGACAGGCAATGTTTACTTGGGCAGCTAGTTTGTTTATACAATTCCATCTTCACCGTACGTGAACGGTCCACTTTCTTCGGGAGTCTCCTTGCTCTGGACTAACCTAAGATGAATGAGTAACCCGATCGGGCGTTCCTCGTTGCTTGTAGGCCAACTATTCATCCCCCACCAGTGCGCTTTGTCTACCGTTTATGAAGACCAAAGTGTTACCATTGCTTCAGCCAAGTGTCCCCTAGTACCCCTAGCTACTGACCGCAGGTACATCGACGAATGTATTAATCCATGAGACTTGCATCTTGCTGAAGTTGTAATGAACGTTTGCCCGACGGCGTAAAGGGTCATCACGCTCAACGTTGGAAGCAGAAGTCATAGCAGTCGAGGCTAAAGCGCCATGTGTACTCCACTCAAATCGAATGGTCGTTACCCAACATAAGATGATGTGGCCCTAGGTTTGGTCACGTTGATATAATAGACAGCAGCAGCAGTAGCTTCAGTCGTTGTCTCATGAGTGAGACGAAGTTCAACTCACCAATCTCCAATCTCCAATCGCCCTGATCAGCGCAGCCATGGACACCATGGAAAGTACACCGAGGAACTTGAGAAGATGTCTACAAGCTGGGTATATTATAAATAGACAAGAAGTTACCAAACACTTCCTCGTTCCCTTGCTCTAACCCGCAATGGCTCAGCTGGCAGATACTCGACCCGTCGATAAGCATTGAGATGAATCCAGTAGAGCAAACAAAATGGAAAATCAATGATGGATGAGCACCACCTCCCCAACGACCAACCTGGTTTCCACTTTTCGTTACAGTTGTCCCTTTTTCGGTTGCTCCCAGCCCGAGCGTATCGCAAGTTATCCGGGCCCCTTAACCTTCATCATTTTGAAAGTGAAATACAGAGAGCATAAAGATATCCCCAGAAAACCCCTTTCAGTGTGGTTCTCCGTCACGTCCATACCAGTTCCAATGCAGTCTACTAGACTAGTGGAAGGTGAATGGCTGAGCCTGAACTGACCAAATGCAATAGAGCATTGGTCATCACGTTTTCAAGCTTGTATCCAAACCAGAACAACAAGCTAATGTCTGTGTACAGGTCTTCAGACGCGACATCTGTCGAAAGTCCACAATGTCTCCTCACATGATATTCATACTATAAGGCACGATAGCCTTATCGATCACCGGCTCGCGGCGACACGTCGTATCCTTCTCGTCACCCCACTTGCCGAACCACTCCTCCTCATTCTTCACTGCACTGTCGAAAGCTTTCCTGCATTCCTCGGGCAGCAGATCCCTGATATCGTCAGGTACGGCGCTCAAGCCCTTGAAGGGGGCAAGGAAGTCGGCACGCGCGGAAGCAGCCCGATCGGCGGGCGATGTACGGAAGGGTACCTCGTAGGCGGCCGGGGAAATGCCAGCGGGTGGCAGCTCGATTTCCACGTCGGTGATGAGGAAGTTGCGGGATATGGAGGGCTTGACAGGAGGAAGGTCTGAGGACGATGACGAGGCGTCTTCAGAGTCTACCACCTGCGTGATACGGGCATGTGTAGGTTGGATGATGTGCGGGTAGTGCATTTGGTTGGTGTGAATGTCATAGACACCATTCAGGTTGGCGCGCCGGACGCTGGTGAGGATGCTATTGAAGTTACTGCGTAGAAGAGATGTTAGCGTTCCTGTATCCGGTAGCGAGGAAACTGCCGAAGAAGAGAATGCCTACCTGGCTTCGCGAGCATGTTCCAATTGCCAATTAACGTCATTGACAGCAACCCGTCGTTTGGTTGGGGCAACCTTGGCGTTTTGCTGTGGTACTGACGGTATATTCGAGTGATAAACTGAGCTTGCACCGTGCCACGCCACATATTGGTTCTTGTTGTAAGGCTTGCCTGGTTCGAAAATATCGTTGGGATCGGCGAGCTCGCCCTCAACGACACCCTCCTCACGCGCCTTGGCGACTTCGTAGTCATCAATGATCCTTCGTCCGCCGACAATGATTAGGGCGCCAAACTCGCGGAACACTGAACGTGCTGTCACAATACCAATCGTACGGCCCTTGTAACTGTGTGGGATGATTTCCCGCTCGATCATGTCCCGTTTTTCCTCGTCGTTAACGATGATCTTGTAGAGTTTTCTGTGTTTCGTGAAAAAGAGATACGAGTCTCTGAAGCCGACACAACGTGCTGGCTCGGTCGAAAGCATGTATAGACGATCTCCACGGCCAAGGACGGTGAATGTACGGCAACGATACTCGCGGCCATCCTGAAGATTTCCTAGCTTATCAACCTTCTTCTCACCCTCCGGGTCCTCGGGAAGGTCCACCTCGTCGTTGATAATGTCGAGGACGGTACCATCTTTGTCAATGGATTGCTGGGTTGGTTGAAAATGCTGGCCTTTGCGGCCGCCTCTGCCTCTCCATCCTCCGCGACCGCGACGGCGAGGAGCGTTTTCATCACGATTGGGGGGTTCGATCGGCAGAGTGTCCCAGTCGGGAGGTCGGTTCTTGGGTGGTCGCCCCAAGCGTCGGCGGCGGATGACAGGCTCTGGGGGAGGGCTTGGGCTCTTGCCCGACTCGTCTTCCTCGGGGGCTTCCTCTTCCTCGTGTCCGTCACCACCCGACTCGTCATCCTTCTCGACATCATCCTCGCCGTCTCGTTGTGATGGCTCGGCGTCGTCTTGATCGGCATCGGGCATAGGCTCATCCTCGTCGTCTAGGCCTTCGAATGTCTTTGGGGTGCTTTCTGGTTGTGCATGGCTTTGATAAGCAACTGCTTGTTTGAAAAATGAAAGGATTTGCGCGTGGCTGCTGCATTCGTTGGAGTGGATCACAATGTATGGAATAAATTTGTACAAGCAAAGGGAGGGAGGAAATGCCAAATGATAAACGATGATGAAATCGAGTAACTTACCGAGGGCCTGTTGTGCGCGTTTCGCGGCTGCGCGGCCTGATCGCCGGGAAGGCATAATTTCGAAGGTAACGTATTGTATGCTTGGTGGTAAGCTGTGATCGGGGTTTGGAGTGTCGGCGCAGAATAAGGCGGACGGTTGAGTTGCGTTTGGGGTTTGGAGGTGACGATGTCAAAATTACTGAGACGCGGTTGAGAGGTGGGAGACGTGAAGCCGCTGTAGTCAGTCCTGCTAGTGGTGGTTTGCGTGTGAAGCGACTGCCCATTGACCCACTTGGCGTGTACAGTGTAGTGAACAAGCGCACTGTGATTCTCTTTACGGTGCGACGACAGAGCCCTTCAACCAAATAAACCAAGTACTGTACTGTGTAAGTCATCCCGGGCCCTTTGAAGTCCTGGATTCGAGCTTATGGACACATTCTCATGTTTTCCAAATGGTGAGTATTGATATCTTGTATTAACTATCTTGATTCCCCAAGTCCCTGTCGGTGCCAAGTCGAATAGCAAATAACGAAAGAATTCCCCTGAATGCCTCGAGGTAAGATCAACTTTCAAACCCGCAAATGTCCTTCCGATATGCCTAGGTAGAAGCTGACCAATCTAACCTCGTTTTCCATTTTAGTGTATTCTCATAGTGTGCCAGGCCCCTTTGTCCTGCCGCACTGCGACCAGCCTCCGCAGTCACCAGCCCTATCTTGGGCATACGATAACCTGCTTCTCTTCCGACCACCAATATGCTTCCAAGCTTCTCGAAAATCCGGACGTGCCTGTGGATCGTCTTTTGCCCGTAAACCAAAGTTCAAAAGCCACCACGTTCTCAGTAGGATAACCTTGTCATCTCAGTGAGGCTGACCACCCTGCCAAGCTTAAGAAAACGCAATGCTGTCACGCCGCGATTCTGTCCCGTGGAAATTAAGAAGCGGAGCTGCCCACCCAGAGCCAACACTCTATCCAAACTACCCGCGCACCCGAGGCCCCTAGTTCGCAGGAAGCTTGTCGAGGTTTGGCACTCCCTCAGGGAAGATCTCCTCAAGCAGCTTGTCCTTCTTGTTATAGAGGAGACGATAAGCTGTTTTGACGGTTCCGTCGCTAACGCCAGCCACTGTCGCAATCTCCTTGGATGTACGTGACTCGTTCCTGATGTGGGATGCCATGTAGATACACGCAGCGGCGACGGAAAGGGGAGAACGGCCAGCCAGCTCCGAAATAGTGCTGGTCTTGTCGGCCAACTGGCGGGCAACGTCCTCGACCGCAACTGAGTTGCGGAAGTTGAGGTTGCTGCAGTAACGAGCGCAAAGTTCGGTAGCTGTAGTAGATCCCTTGCCCTGGTATTGCTGGTTGAAGGTGGGGATGCTGGTCGTGATTGCATGCTCCTCGCCTCCGATCTTCTGGAGGAAGGATTCCAACTGCTTGAAAACCCTGCCAATCTCCTTCTTCGAAACCTTGGTCAGGCTGTAGATCTCACGGAACGTACGCGGCACTCCCGTTTGGCGGCATGCAATGAAGATGCAGCCAGCGGTGATGGCTTCCTGAGACTTGCCCTTGAGGGCCTTGTTATCCTCGACGAGCTTGTAAATGTGCTTGGCAGCATTTGCCACCTGGGTACCGGCATTGATGCTGTCCGTCAAGCCCTGAATATCTCGATAGGCCTGCATAAGCTGCTTGGAGTTCTTGTCCTGAGTGATCTTGTTCTGAAGGTGGGACAGGTTCTTGCCGTTTTTGCCATCGAACGCGATAGTGGTCTGGAGCTGGTCACCATCGATCAGTTGATTGGGACCATCACCAACACGAGAGGGGTCATCGTTGCCCTGGTCGTCGTTGGAGAAAGTACGCCACTCGGAGCGGGTATCGATGATGCGCTCGCCCAGCACAAGACCGCAGGAGCCGCAAACCATGTCTCCTGACGAGAACTCTTCGACAAGGTGAGGCGGATCTTCCTTGCACTCCGGGCACATGAGGAGATTCTGGAGATTCTCCTTGAACTTCTCCTGTTGCGGAGGCTTGGGAATGATGAAATCGGTCATTTTGGGCGTTGTTCAACGGGACTGTGTATTTGGACTATCTGGACGAAATGGGAAAATGGTCGTGACCCAGGTGGACTGTGGGTTCAAGTTTCTGCAGCGGTAAATCCAGAAGCCGGAAAATAAAAAATTGGTCGAAAGATTATCGAAGGCGGGGAAGGACGCGCGACGCCCGAGTTTCGATTGATTTGGTGCGCCGCTTTGGACGAGAGTGATCAAAGCCCTTTGTTGCAAATGGGCTTGTCTCGCTGAATTTGGGCGTGACTGCTCTGGTTTACCAGTGAAGGCGTCCGAGGAGGCACTCGAGTGAGGTCGCCGCAGAACAGAACAGTCGGGTCACGGTCGGTACGCTGGAGGTATTGTCGTCGGGGATTACAGATACTTCGATGGATTTCAGATCGAGCGCGACAGAACCTACGGGAAAGCGGTCGAAATCGAATTCCTTGGTTCCGACTTCAACGACAAAAGAATTCTGTTGGCAGCGTTCTTTCGATGATTTGTGGTTGAGCACGGCGAGCGAGCGAGCGAGCGACAGGCAGTGACGGGTTGACAAGATGTGCGTGGACGAAAGGGCGAGGCGCGGAGTCCTGAGAAAAAAAAAAAAAGAAAGAGAAAGAGAATGGAAGTGGAAAAGGCCCAGTCCGGCTGCCTGTTGTTGAGTCGCAGATAAGTGGAAACCCTCAAGGGAAGACTGTGACGGGCCGGCTCCGGCTGTTTGGCTGACGGTTGCGGTTTGGCCTGTAGTCTTGAGATAGGTACGTAACACTGGCAAACAGCCGCTGTAGGATTGGCCCTAATCGCTAATGGCCCCAGTGACACCTCAGCAGGCACCAAGGACGGGAGGAACTGCATGGCGGTCCTGCTTCCATTCAACCTGGACCGACGCCTTGACCCCAGCTGCCGAGCCCCACATAACCTTAAGTACGTAGCGACTTGAGGCGGAGGGACCGTTTATTAGGGCGTGTTCGTCGACCTGGAAATGGACTTGTTTCGGAAATGGTTTTTTGGGGGGGGATGTGGTCCTTGTTAGGTACTTCGAGAGAAACGGGCTGATTTTTGATCGAAGAATCTTTTTGGAGGCACTTTCTACTAACAACTTCCGACTGCTCATTGGACCTGCAAATGGCTTAAAAGTTCTAGCGCTTGATATGAGCCTCGTCGCGGTCGAAAGGCTAGACTTGGCGACCAAATTTCCAAGTCCGATTTCCAAAGCTTTAAGTTGAGATAGTTTCAGATATGGTGGTCACGGGCAATGCTTTGGACGGCTTTGTAGTGTATCTCTCGACTTCCAAAACCATTTCCGAATCCTGATTTCCAAGTCGACGAACACGCCCTTGGAACAGGGGAGTTCCCCACCTTCCCCCGTGTTGCCACTGCACCTTCAGCCTTACAAAAGAAAGGCCATGCATCCTTGATGGTTCTCGGACGGACTTTCCGAGACCGGACGTTGCATCGACGGAGTTCAATCCGGAGCCCGGGATTCCACTTATTTATGGACGAGCCGCATCGCATCGAATCGAACCGACACGTTCTTCCCCCACACCAACCTGCTTTACCTCTGATACCATACAGGGGACTTGAAGACTGCCACGCCAAACCTGCATATTAGACAGCATTTCGTAACGGCTCTTTGGGGTCCCTGCGTCTACGAACAACGATAGAACGACCTTCGAATCCAGGTACTACACTACTATCCTTGCGGGAATCACTAGAAATTTATAGTAGGTTGAACCTGTGGACTAAGTGGGCTGTGCATGAGGAACAAAGATCGTGATCTTGTGTTGGTGGCCTAAGTAGCAAGCTACACCAGGCCTCTTTATAGGAACTGAAACTGACTTGTGTTTCAGGTCCCCCTAGTGTCTTCCGTAGAGAAGTCGCTGTCAACGTGGTGATGGACTTCGAAGCCGGATAGTGTACCCGTTCCCAAGTCACTCGACAGTTGGAACGGCATGTTCCTTTCAAGTCACCAGCAGCATCATCGGCCGAAAGTCAAAGCGCAAAATCCACTCGAAAGCAGTGGCAGTGACAGTAACGGGAAACCACTGACAAAGAAAAGGAAACTCGGAAAGGATCCGCGAAAGGATCCGCGTTCCCCGGTAAGAAAGCCATAAACCCCAAAAACACCCACACAAAGAAGATTGTCACCAGCCCGCTAGCCACTCAATGATGTTGCCGTCATGCCACAAAGAACACACCACTACACAGCCGTGCTGTCCTCATGGACCCTTTCCCCAAGCCTCTACTTTTGAACGATGCCGCCAGACTGACACAAATATAAGTGATCTCACATCCCCACCCTTATCCATGCCTCCAGTTATACGTAACAACTCCCTCGACACCACGCGTCTACAAAATTCTCATCGTCTTCGAAAACAACACAATCAGAAAAATGCCACACCCCCACCAAGCCCCCGAGTTCTCTTTCTACGTCACCAGTCCCGACAGATCTAACCCCAGCTCTTCCAACTCTTCCACCTCCTCCAACTCTCGTTCCAAATCTGCCAATCTTAAATCTGGTTGCAGTACAAGTTCCAACCCACACTCCAGCTCCTCAATGGCAGCCTCTTGGCGTTCCAACGCTTCCGAGCTCCGGGACATCACTCGCGACTTCACTGCCGCGCGGGCGACTTCGACGGACGCCAAGACCAAGAGTTACACGGAGAAAGAAGCGATTAGGTTTGAGGCGATGGCGAGAAATGCCGAGCTTATGGCTAGTATGGCCACGACGGCTTCGGCTGCTAAGGAGAGGAGTGGAGCTAAGAAGGCATGATGGACGGAGAGCTTCGGGAAATAAACGACAGAACGAGGAACGAGTACAAGAGCTAAATTCAATTCGAGATCGCAAACAATGTTCATCAAGAGAGAAACTTCAGGGACGTGAGAGAAACTAAGGGACTTATCTTGTCTCCTTTCCGGTAGGTATTAGAAATGTCGTAAACTCGTGACGATACTCAGGTATCTAATTTCACTCTCTGCCATCAAAGAGTATTAACCCAATCACCATAAACAAACCAAGCCTTTTTCCTTTGCTTGGACATCAAGACCTAATCGGTTTAGAAAAGACCAAACTTCTTCTCGTTGCCCGAGTTGTTGTCATCCTTGCTCTTGATAGGGAACTCATTGCCAGTAGAGCTCTTGTAGCCATCGCGGATGGTCTGGGCAATCATCTTGTCCTTAGCCTGCTCGACGGCGCTCTCGTTGTCCTGAGGGCCCTGGCCGAGGAACTTTTCCTGGACAAAGTCGATGCCTGTTGTGAAAAGAGATAGTTGGTTAGGGTATTGTTCTACGATAGGGATCAGTGAAAAAAAATGTGAGTTGACTTACCCTTGTCCAGGAGATCCTCGTTCTTCTCACCCTTGGCACCACCACCGGCCATGTTGTTGAAGGCGTTCATGAAACCGCCTTTGGATTCGTTGTTGGAGGACTGCTGCTGGTTGTCGTTGTCGTTCTTGTTCTGAGAGCCGCCGATGAAACCAGTAAGCTTGCCAACGAAACCGCCGTCACCAGAAGAGTTGTTCTGCTTGTTGTCAGAGCCATAGCTGTTGTTGTTGCTAGAGCCATAGCCGCTGTGCTTATTCTCGGAGCCATAGCTGTTGCTGGAGCCGTAGCGGGATGGCTCGTCATCACCGGCGTTGCCCTTGTAGCCGGCGTCATTCTTATAGCTCTGGTTGTTGGAGCCATAGTTGGAAGAACCGTACTCGTTGTCACGGTCCGCAGAGCCGTAGTTGGAGGAGCCCTGGCCGTACTCGCCCCGTCTCTCATTCTCGCGCTCAGAGCCGAACTCACCACGCTGGGAGCCGAACTCGCTAGCACGCTCGCCGAAGTTGTTGTAGGACATCTTTGCTGATTTGGATTAAGAAACAAAATGATGGAAGGGATGATGTGATTGAGGTTGATGAGGGGACTTGGAAGATGGCGGGGGCCTAGAAACAGAAGGGCTGCTGGAAGATGTACAGATGGTTATATAGTGTTTGATAGTATGTGATGCTAGTGTAGAGGAGGACAGTCTAATCTACTAGGACGAGGGGGGTGGAGATGACGAGATGAGTCCGATGAATCGCGGAGGGGATTTGTCTCCAGTTCTCAGCTGAGCTGGGGTCGACCACGTAGGTAGGTGCTGTGCAACCAGCGTACGAGAAGCCAAGGTAAGACCATGTCAGACATCATACCTCTATGTCGTCGTGAATGAGGACTCCGACTGACGTCTTGATCTTCGGACTGCAGGTAATACACTACTAACCTGGAACTTGAAGATACTAGTGCAAGTGGGGGGAACGGGGTCGACGGGCAAGCTGGACCCAGGCTCCGAGGGCCAGAACTACCTAGGTAAATTCTGGTCATAGTGTGTGGCGGTGCTTCCCCTCGGCTCATTTTGACGCACCTTCCCCGCCCATCTTTGATGTTGGCGATGATGAGGTTGTTTTGTAGCTCTTCCTTCCAGTCCTGAACCATGGTTCGATCCGTCTGGAAGTTAGGTTGTATTGTAATTGAATTGCGAGCAGAAGCTTTACCTCCCTGTCAGGTACCGGGCACGGACCAGTACTTACAAGCAACTAAAGCTTCTTGACTCTGTACTGTGTATGGCCACACTCGGTCGAGTGCCAGAGATCGTCAGTGACGTGACGGTTCAATCTACCCATCTTACCATACAGTAGTAACTCAAATGGAAAAAATCTCCATGGCCTCGCCCTTCATAAACATTTCTTTTCCTTGATAGTGACTAGCAATATCGTCAATCAGGACAAACCAGACATTATCGGATCACTCCCGTAGACTCCCGGGTGATAATCTAGATCCGCATCCATGAGAGACCGACAAGGTACATAACATCATAGTCAAGAGACTGATTGAGATAGAGTAATGCCAGTCAGGGACTCTGTAGGCCTGAACCAGGAGATCATGAATCACGACTCCATTTTGCCTGCCTTCATTAAAGTTCGGAGACCCCACAATGGAGGATGATATAATCTCAGCTGGGTGAGGGTCCATCACAGGAACGCATGATGCAGACACCACGCCTCCAAAAGGGACCAGAGGGGTTGCGTGGGTAGCATGGATACCTCTAGCGTAGGTTGAGGAACAAAGATGGAAGTGGAAGTTTGCGAGAAGCTTTGGTGATTCCGTCGTGAGGAAAGGCAGCAGCAGGGGGGAGGGGCCGAAAGACATCAATTCAGGGCCCTGTAGCTCTGATCCTCCCTCCGTTGCAGTGAAGGAAGTCCAGTCCCAGGTGGTGAAGGTCTCGGCTCCATTCCCTTGCGGGGGGCCGGGAGCCTAAGCGGCGGATGGAATGCCGACACCGGGCGTGCACCCGCGAGCCACGCATGGCAGACCTGAGGGTTGTACCTTCTTTGTACCGTATAATTTCGGGGCGATCGTTTTAGGTAACTTTCAGGGAAACCAGGCATAAACTGTAAGCATACCGCAATAATCATGTCTCCTCCACTATTTTTTGGCGAGCATAAAGTGCATAATATTCGGGCAGTAGAGGTATGCTTACAGAATTATGCCTGGTTTCCCGGAAACCTAAAAACGAACGCCCCGAAATTATACAGTAGGTAGTGTACTACTGGTAGGTGACTGGAACTGTGCCGTTCAATGGGCAGAGGCTTCAGAGGTAGCCCCACCCTCGGCTGACCCGCCACTCCCGCCCCCCGGCGCCAGCAGCAACTTCAGTTGCTTCCATCATGTCATCCACAGCTCACGGTGACAGTGGCATTGTTGGGGAGAACACATCGCCTGCTCATTGTTCGTTGACGATAACACCAGCCATAGCCTGAAGCAACATCGCAAACCACCAATCTCACAGCCATGGACTACGTCGAGAACAGAATGGCCCAAGAAGCCGCCAAGCAAACCGGCAATGCCGAGTAAGAGTTTCCCATCACAATCGCTTCTACTGCTTTAACGTTTCTGATGGCGCTAATTGAAATAAACCCTCCCGCGCGCAGGTCCTTTGTCACCCCCCTCAACCTCGTCCTCCTCGGCATGCTTCTCTACACAGCATACAGCTGGCTGAGGCCACATACCCCGGCCACCATTCCCAAGGAAGAGCCCGCCGTCGTGTTCAAAACCTTCACCCCGAGGACGCTGCTGCCGTACAACGGCGAGAAAGACATGCCCGTTTACCTGGCCGTGCGTGGTCGCGTCTTCGATGTCACTCGCGGCCGCAACTTCTATGGACCCGGTGGTCCCTACGCTAACTTTGCCGGTCGCGATGCCTCCCGCGGTCTCGCCTGCGGTAGCTTTGACGAGGAGATGCTTACCAAGGACCTTGACGGCCCGCTCGACACTCTGAGCGATCTCGACAAGGATCAACTGGAAGCGCTCCAGGGCTGGGAGGAAAGGTTTCTTGAGAAGTACCTTGTTGTTGGCAAGCTGGTGGCTGTTGGCGATGAGGATAAGGCCGAATAGACTGCTCGAGCGTGCGAGCGTGACGAGAAATGAAAACAACCAAGAGACGGAATGGACAGCATGGGCAAAATCTTCACCGCAGTGTACGGATCGCTCCGGTATTCCAGAGTATCACTCTATAACATGTTGGACGATATGCCCACAGGATACTCTCGAAGACAGAGGCGCATGATTCGGTACTTGATATAATGGCGAGTGTTGGTTACTTAAGAATGGCGTACCAACAACCGATGCAAAGGGCGGCATGGGAGCCAATGACCTTGAACAATCTCAAGTCTGGCATATTCGGTAAATTCGCTTTGGGGTCATGAAGGATGCGAGTATTTCTTGCGCTTGAATATTCTTATTATCGACTGTTCCAGAACTTTGGTCTCTCAATGAATCTCTGATACACCACAGTTAACTACCGAGTTACTCAAGCTACTGTTTGAGATGTTATCCCGTTCTCATTCCGTTCCTGCCCTCCTTTGCGCTCTTGACTCATTTCTTCAACAATATAGATGCCACACATCCCTTGTCGCAGTGCGGTTTCTCTCCGCCCTGTTCTTGGTCGAGACGGTCAGCGTCCTCGCAGACACCGAACACGAACCCTTCATGCGAAAGAGGAACATCGGACATCGACCCCATTGTCTCGTCCACCAAGTACACCTCGCACATGCACTCCTTCTACGGGTCCGACGCCATCACCAACCCATCATGATACATCCCTAATCGACTTCTCAACTCGACTGGCACCTCAAACTCAGTCTCCTTTGGAATCAGCCCCAATTCAGCCAATTCCTCATCATTCATATCTGGCCTCTCATCAAGTATCTTCTTCAACGTTCTCGCTTTGTCTGTAACATCCTCAATGTTCACAATCATATCCTGCGCCCACTCTTTGATCAACCCGGCTGGTATCCCAATCTGAATACTGCGATAGTTCAGACTATGCAGCCGCACCGTCCGCTCGGGATCCCATTGGATCTTGACGTCAAGCGACTGTAACCTGTCTTTCCTCTTGCTTTCCCTGGTACTTTCTTTGGGCGCTGCTTCCTCTCCACTCTCCCCGCTTGTTCGTTCTTGAGCATCACTTGTCATTTTCTGCCCCTGTTGTGGCCCTGGATGAGGAGGAGCAGTACCATGAGTCAAGACTCCCCTTCTCAACAACCCCAGAAAATCCTCCCGCTTCATCTTGATAGCCAATATGCGCTCCTGTCCAGGATCTTTGTAAGAATATCCTGAGCGATAGAGCATCCAGGCCCAACTGGGCTTGATCCAGGTCATACGGGTGGTGCGAAACTCGGGGCTTGCATCGAGTCTCTGATGGATGACAGCGGCTGTGGCGATGGTGGATGGGTAGGCTTGGTAGACTGTGATTGTTGTGCCATCATCCTCCTGGAGGGCGCGGATTTGTCTGGAGGGAGGCTTGGGGGGCAGATTCGAGAATTTCATTCTGGGTGGTGTGTTTCCTAGTGAAGACCCAACTCCAAGACGGTGGTAATTTGTCACTTGTAAAAGAAGTAGTATAGTATCTGATATCAAATCTCAATAGCGCTTGGTGAAAGGTTAGTCTTTGTGATGCAGACCATAATCATAATCGCAACCCCTGAACGACGAAATTTGCCGTTGTCTCGAGCTATTTCTTGGCATCAATCTGTTCAGTTACTGTTGCTCCCATTCACCCGTCCTGTGTTTGTTCATTGTACCCTTGAGTTTTGTGTATACCACCTTAACACAACTTGGATTGGGCTTATTGACTGATCTATCTATTGCCATGTTTCCTCGTCCCTGTAGGTAGGAGTCCGAGTCCCGCATTGCGGTGGTGATCTGACACTGTTAGAGCTCGATGAACTCTGCCACGCCACAGGCTAGTAATAACTGAATCGCTTGTCCTCCCAAAGGCCAAGCAAATTTGAGGCTGTCTGGATCACCGACAACAGACAGCTCGCTTGCTCGCGCCTGAGTACCCCCGAAGGCATTGCCCGATGATAGGCAGAAGCAGACGGATGAACTCAAGTTGTGGAGGAGAACTAACTAACGTGGAAGGAGGCTGGCACTAGCCACATTCAAACTATATGCACCGCCACACGATCTGAGGACGATCTTCCCCAGACTTGACCGGGGTTTCTCCCATCTTTCTTTGCTCGAGAAGTCGAGACCATCGAACTCCCAAGTCCTTCCCCAGCCCCGCTCAAAGAACAAGGCAAGTCCCCGAATTCGACCCATGCGACTCGAACCCCGTTCAACCGTTGCGCAACGCTACCGGCCGAAGTGCGAGTGCATCGCATGGGGAATCGCATGAGCATCTAGAGGTAGCCAGGGCATTCCGCCCACCTCCAAAGGCCTGGCAGCGCAAGCGACAGTGCAAGCGCGAGTTTGAACCCCCAGAATGATGAACATGAGGTCATCCACCCGATCACTACCATCTCCCAGCCAATCGGCGCAATCACCACATCCGGTTCCTGGCTCAACGTTGACAGGACAGGTTGACGGCCCGTCCAGGACGGTATCACCAAGCCGGCAGCTCGACATCGGATTTCCAAGTTTTGTTCCAGTATCCGTTGTTGGGACACTGAACCATCGAATAGGCTTTTCTGGATGCAAATTCGAACGTCAAGGTCATGCTTGGATCGAGATGGGCACCAATACCACTTCTCATATGCCGCCAAATGCAGGAATTGTGCAGCTAGAATGCACTCTTTTTAGTGGCCTTCCGTTCTTCTGGTCCCTTTGGGCCATGGTCAGTACCTAGCCTCTACCTACCTGGCCTTGCCCACGGCGAGGCTATGATGTTCCCTCAATGCGTCCACAACCTGGAACCTGAACCTTCTAGATGACCAAGGTCTCGAGGGCGGGATTCGAATGAAAGGGAAGACAATTTCGGCATCAAGTTCAGCATCTTGACCGCTAAACGTCTTTTCCCCCTATTTTCTCCACTGCGGGTTTGTTTGTTCTCGAGGTTCATCGCCTCTCCTCGAGACTTAAAGGTACAACAACACCACCACCACCACCAAGACGACTTCTCTATCTTCAGATCTGCAAGTCCTCCTCCAGTATTCCGTTCATTGCATACGGTGCGCATATCATCGATTTTTCACCAAATCAGAATTCGATTGTGACTTCATTTGCCTGCGGTAGCCACACCCAAACCACCCCTCTTCCCCAGGGTTGCATGTGGCGACCTCGTCTCCTTGTCTATCCGGGCGAAACTTTCCAAGTCTTCATACACTACTGTCGTCGACGGTTGGTAATTCATGACTCCAGATACTGTGGTTGGCGTACCTGCGTATCGTTGTTACCATGTCATTCGTGAAGCTATCAAAATGCCCTTCGAACCCCGAGACGCCTTCCTTCCACCATGTTCGCCCCAGGTTCCCCCACAATAACACTCATGATCGAAACCGTGAAGGCTCCGACAGACATCCCTCACTTTCTCTGATGACAGGGAAAATCAAGAAGGGCAGGAAGTCAGTATTCAAAGAATTGGACATAGACTCCGATCAACCTTTCCACCACTACCCGGGCGAAAGAGAGTTTGGCGAGATCACCGGACTTCGTATAGACAACGAGAGTGACGACGGCGCCAGTTACAGGCAATCTGGGTCCATGAAGTCGCCAACCACACCAACATCGCCTTCGTCTGGAAGACCTTGGTATTCGAAGCTTACTCCGGGAAGAAGACCACGCATCAGCTCGACTGCCAGTGCGCCACCTCCTGGCATGTCGAGCTTTACCAGACTTACAACGCTTGCCTTGTTCATTGCCGTGGTCATACCGGGCTTCAGTTATTACAACGGTCGTGAAAAGGTGTCGCTCAGTGGGGCTGATGCGGGAGTGATACGAGAGGTGGTACAGCCAAGTGGCCCTATTCTTGAAACAAGAACAGATAGCTCAACCGATTATTGCGCGAGATGGGCAGGACAGAGTGAGTGATTTGTGCCCCTGACATATTTGAGAAGCTACTGACATGTGCACGTACAAGGTGCCTCGGTCAATGGGACATTGTACCTCTATGGTGGTCAGTCCAAAACATCACCAGACCAGACTACAGATACCTGGAGTAAGCCATGATCCCTTAGTGTCTTCCAGCTACCACAAACGTCTCTAATGGCGTGCTAGATAACGACTTTTACGTCCTGGATCTCACAAAGTCATGGGATACCGGCTCACCACGGCTGCGGGGACTACCCAGGCCTTCGGGGCCCCCTGCTGTGTCATTGGGATACCTCTGGAATGACTACAACAATCTTTACCTGTACGGCGGTGAATTCGCCGATAACCCCTATGTCGAGCCTACTGAGGAGTCAGTTTGGAAGTACGACATCAAGAACCAAAAGTGGACAGAGTACAAGCAACCAAAAACTTCTGCCGGCAAGTACTCAACTCAGGGCAACCTGCTTGTCCAGAGATCAGCTGAGGGTTCCGGGATTTCGGTGCCTGAACTGGGACTAAGCTGGTATTTTGGTGGCCATCTCGACCTCGCAACAACGCCTGGATGGTCGAATCAGATTTCTCGGGTTTACTTGAAGAGCCTACTCGAGTTTACACATCCAGGATATAACAACGAGGCAGTTTACGGGTTAGAGGACAGGGGAGCAGGCGAATGGGGCGCCTTTAGGAATATCACTGAAGGCGGTCTCCAAACAAATCAAGCTTTCCACGAACGCGCAGATGGTGCATTGGTATACGTGCCAGGCTGGGGTGAAAAGGGCATCCTTATCGGCCTAGCGGGTGGTACAGCTGATGAGTTTTCCGACAACCTCGAGGTTTTGGATGTCTATGATATCGCCAGCTCGGAATGGTACCACCAGAAGACCAGCGGAGATGCGCCATCAGTACGGGTTAATCTTTGTGCCGTTATTGCTTCAGCACAGGATTTCTCAAGTTTTCAAATCTATGTGTTCGGCGGTCAGAATCTTCAGCCAGCTGTAAGTGCTCCATCAGTGTTCATACCTTAGTCGAGACTGTCTAATACTAACACCCAACAGAAAGGTCAAACGCAATACTCAGACATGTACATTCTTTCCATCCCATCTTTCACCTGGGTGAAAGTGTCCGACGAAGACAACGAACACAAACCTTCGGCCCGCGCCGGCCACGCCTGCCACCTCCGTGACGGCCAGATGATCGTCGTCGGCGGCTACACCGGCGGCAACACATGCGACTCTCCCGGCATCTACGTCTTTAACGCCACCTCGCTCACCTGGCAATCCTCATTCAAAGCCCTCAACCACGACCCCGACCTCCACCCCGAAAACTCCGTCCTGGGGAACTCCTTCGGCTACCAAGTCCCCGCGCCTGTCGCCAGCATCATCGGCGGCTCCGGCTCCGGCGGCGCCACAGCCACCCAACCCGCCGCGGGCTCCGCCACTGCCGGGCCCTTTGCAACCGGTAAACCGCCGGTCTTAACCGTCACCACCACTGCATGGGGTCCAGAAGCCACCACCACCGCCACACCTGGAGACCCGAGCGATCCCAACACAGAAACAACAGGCAAGGATCGCAAGGCGGGACTCATCGCTGCGGGCGTCATTGCCGGCCTCTTGGGTCTTCTGGCCATCTACCTCGGCTACTGCGCCTGGTTGTACCGCCGCCAGGTACGCGCCTACAAGACCTATCTGGCCGTGGCGAACCGGTACTCCACCCCGCATCACCCGGGAGCCTCGACCGCCTCCGGTCTAGCGGCCTTTTTCGGGTTCGGCAGCGTCGGAAGAAAGACTAGCAAGCAGAGCCGCAAGTCTGCTGCTACCGACCCCCTTAACTCCAACGGAGCAGCAGCAAACCATAGACCAATTTCCTTGAACAGCTCCATCTCCTATTCCTCAAATAATCATGGCTACGGCGGTATCCCTTCGATGGAACCCAAGATGTTCTTCGAAGACGGCAGCGGCGGCGGCGGAGGTGACCCGCAAAATCACGAATCCGGGTACGGAAGTAGTCGCACTTCGCACACTGCTTCTCGCGGTGGCGGTAGTAACAACTTACCCCGTCCATCCCTAGGCTCGTCAACGCAGGCTCAATACCCGCCTATGCCACCTGTACCTATGCTAGCAGCAGGAGCAGCAAGTAGTGGTGGTGGTGGTGGTGTGATATCATCGTTCGGAACCCCTGGTTCTTCACCGTGGACTGAAGTCTCCTTGTCCGGGCTGGGCTCTGGCACCGGAACCACGCCTGCTACTTTGAGTAGTGATTCAAGTCCCGTCCCTGGGAAGGTTATTAATGCTCATGAAGAAGATCTTGCTGGTGACGGAGGGGAATTTTACGATGAAGGAAGGGGTAGTGTATCCTCGACGGAGAGGCTGTTGGAGGGCGTGGAGCCGAGTTTCTTTAGTGTGGTGATGAGACCGAGGAGGGCGTTGAGGGTGGTTAATGGGCTGGAAGAGGAGTTGGATGAGAAGAATGGGGGTGGTGTGCAGAGGGGGGGAGGTCAGGCGAGACGGGGGTCTTGAGCTTCTTCTTCTTCTTTTTTTTTTTTTTTTTTTTTTTTTTTTTTTTTTTTTTTTAATGATGAAGGGGAGCGAGAGTTGGGATGATTGACTGAAGAAAAGGACTCGTGCATGCGCGCACGCAAAGATGGTTGAATTTGTTGTTATCACTTAGCTGCTTTTTTTCTTCTTCTTCTTTTTTTCTTCTTCAAGCTATCACGGTTGCTCGCCCGTTGAATAGCTTTGCTTGATACCCATTACTGTAAAAAAGCGCCTGTCTTTACATGTTTCTGTACACAATATACACTAATACCTGCCCTGATGGACCTGGTGCCATAGGATAATAATATGTTATTTGTTCATAAGCTTGCGTTGGTATCTACCCGTCGAAATGCATGACGCTTTGAAAGATGGAGAAAAAAAAAAGAAAAAAAGAAAGAAAGAGACGCCCCTTATGTACAGAACCATGAGATAGCCCAGAAATAGTAACATGAAAAGGAAACCATAAGTGGCTAGGCAGGTACTTACCAATCAGTCCCTCATGATATCTCAGGGTAGTGGGTTTTCATGCAAAGAGAATGTACGTTCAAGAAAAAGGACGTGAAATGGGAGAAGCAAACAGAAAAGAAACAAGCATCACCACAGATGCAATCATCAAAAAGCAATAGCCCCAAGATGCGGTCCTATCGGCGCCAAATGCGTCTTGAACCGCTCCATCAACTTTTGCGCCTCCGTAAACCTTCCGGTCTGCATCAAATTCTGTATCGTATCCAGCGTCAACGACGCCAGGCTGGTAATGAATCTTGACTCGGGATTATCCGACTTGCAGTTCGACAGCTTGACATTCCACACATGGTCATTCTTGAGATACTCCAGCGCCAGTTTTGACGATGGGTTCGTAGGATGATACAGCGTCAGATGCGCCACTGACATGGGCAAGGGCTTGGGCAGCTTGTCGTGGACGGCGACGAAGGACTCGAACAAGGAAGCCGGCGGGATCTGGTGCTTGTACGACTGCCCCGTGGTTTGCCAGCAAAGTTTGCGCCAGGCCTGGACGAGGTGCTGGGTGGAGGCCGAGGTGTTGTCGATAACCTCCTTGCCGCGCAGCATGGACGTGTATGCCTCGTCCAGCTCGATGGCCTGGGACTTGGCCATGATGAGGCTGTCCAGGAGGATGGCGGGGTAGGCGGCCCGCTCGGGATTACCCGTGGTGAGCGCGGGCTCGTTCAACAGCCGCTGGAACCAGGACCAGGCGAGCTCATCCACACCTTCGGCTACCATGTAGCGCAGCAGAAGACGGGTGAAGGTGCGGTTGCCGAGGAAGCTGAGCGAGCGCTCCTCGCCCGATGAACGGAGCCAGCGCAGGACGAGCAGACCGGCGCCGGATTCCTTCATGCTCTGGGTGACGGAGACGGCGGCGGAGAGTTGAATGTCGTTCTGCACGGCCAGGAGGAAGCCGAGCGCGCGCTGGATGTTCATGATGCCCTTGGACACGGCCAACTGGAAGATCTCGTTGCGGTTGTTCCTAACTGCTGGGGCAGGGGCGGCAACAGAGCGTGACACAAAGGCCTTGTTGTTGAAGAGGGGATTCTCTAGAATGGCGCGCATATGCTTATCCGTCGGACGGGCTGGTACATCTTTGGAGGAGGCGGGAGAGGCGGAGGGCAGATAGGTGACGGTCGGCGTGGCCGGCGCGACCTGGTTGGTATCGGGAGTCCATCCGTGCTCTCTGTCTAGATGGGCTCGAAATGAGGCTTTGAGCACATTGAGGAGCTTCTGGGATTCGCGCTGGTTGAGAGGGAGGGGCTGGTGGATTGGCGGGAGGATGCTCTTGAGAGAGCCTAGCGGTTTGGTCTTGAACATGGTTAATCGTATGATGTGTTTCCGTACGTCTCGGATTCGAAGGGGCCGTGTAGATGAAAAGTTCGGCTTCCGGAGTTCGGGGGGGCCGGGCTGGTCGACGGCCGATCGGCTGAGTGGTCAGTGACCTTCTGATGATGTCGTTCCGTTGTCGATGTCGGTCGTTCACGATGTTTGGTTGTGTTTGAAGGTGGAGCTGTCACTCCATGAGTCCATGGCCTGGCCCGGCCGTTGCGACGGCAAGTGGACAGGAAAGAACCCACTTCTCCGGGAGAACGAGCCAAGGCAAAAACATGATTGGTCCGCTGACTCTTCGTGTACCTTATCATAGGTACCTTCATCACTATGGTGCGGGCAGGTGTTCACAACGTCGTCCGTCAGCTTGCTCCAAATTGCATCGGGCCCCCGTTCACACCTGCTTCACGATTGCCTTTTTACGTGGCCAACTCGCCCTTATCTGGGGATATCACACAAATGTGGTTCTAGTATCGTGCTCTTGGGTGGGTTGTCAGCCACCACACACGCCGGCTACGGTGCCGGTATGCGGTTGGGTTTCACAGGTACTTGGTCTGTATGCACCCAAAAGGCACTAACAAAGGAGTTAGTTTCTTGCCCATGTGGTAGATCTCAAACCTAGATTTAGGGGCCTAGTTGGAAAAGGGGTGTACGCTAAATGGAGGCCAGAAACGGAGGGCTTTGCGTAAATATCGACAAGACACTCCTACATTTTCACATATCTAGTATTCGAACACTTCTAGATGTTTAGTGTAGTAGTCGCAAACTTCAAGATCGTCACGAAGCTCGAGCCAACAAGCCGAAAGCCGTCGAGTCCTGAGTCATGTGACTCATCGACTTCCCAAAACCTACCCACGACCAAACCCGCTGGTTGGGGTCGCTGGAGCTAGCCTGTTTCGAGCTGTACCTGGACGGCCCTGACGTCGTTTGCCAGTACGTACCGGCGTCGCGTCGAAGTTCCAGGGTGCCTTGGATCCAATCCTTCACAGTTTGTCTTGTTGTCGTTGCGATGAAGAGAAAAGAAGGAAGAGACAACAAAGCAAAGCCCAATGTTGAGCCTGACAGTAGTCCTGGCAGTCAATTACCTCTAGATCATGCCAAGCGGAATGGGAACCACAGACTCTTTTTTCAGAGCCTCTGGCTTCGCCGAGCCAAGCCCAAGGGCAGCTTTGCTATTGCCAGCTTCCCTTCCCCTTTCGACATTGCCCAGGGCAGCTTGCCCGCCTCAGCCCAGCCTTTCAAGCGAGGGGCCTGAGGGGCCTGAGGGGCTTGAGGGGTTCCCCATTCTCCATTCGAGCCAGTCAACCATTGTGCTGGGATGGGCTTGCCAAGCTTGTCCATCTGGCCCTGTCATCAGGTGTCTCGCCGTGCCTCCTGAGGCAAGGGGGGCGAATTCCCATCCCCGCGCTTGACTCCATCATGGCGGACTGTCCGACGGCGGTTCGGTGCAGGTATTTGTACGTGTACCAGTTTTCCGGGAGACGGGAGAGAGAGAGACACACACACAGAGAGAGAGAGAGAGGACAAAGCACGCAACTTTCCCATTTGGGATCAGATAGCAGCCATGCCGGTTTGCGCCCTGCATGCCATATGGTAAGATAGTTTCTGTGCCTTGCGTGCCTAGCTACCGTAAGGTAGCATGGATGGGGTAGCTAGGGCATATCAGATTCAGATAGCTTCATCTGGTAGTGTATGGTATGGTAGTCTCCCGTCTGAACAGCAACAACAACAACAACAGAGACACTGGCCATGTGAGCTTGAGATGGAACAAGATTGATCAATATAACCTCAGTCCTCCAAGTCCACAGCCTGTTGTGACGCGCCACGCCGATGGTGAAGTAGTGTATGGCGGGGGGAGGGAGTGTGTGCTGGTCCAGTCTCCCAGTTGCCCCTGGAGCTGGATCGACAACGTCCATGAGTTGGACCGACCGTGACCTGTTGACACTACACTAGGTACCTGGTGGAGAGTGAGAAAGGGGAGACGGCTTCCCGCCTACTGGCAATAGTACTATGTAGAGGTATGCAGCCGGGGCGGACAAGCGAGACAGATGTACCATTACAACTGAAGTAGTAGTCTAGTCTACACTTGGTCTATTCTCGCGCCGTCGAGATGCCACCCTGCCTGCCCGCCCTGCCCTGTGAGGTGTCGTTGGTGGGCGCATCTTTGCAGCTGTTGCAGTCCCGTCCGTCAGGTGCAGCTCAGTTGCAATGGCCCCGGGTGACGCTCGTTACAGGCGGTAGGGTGGTTTTCAGCTGGTGCCCACGCTACAGCCCAGTGACTGTGTGTACCTAGCGGTTGCGGGCGGTGGCCTGGGCTCTGCCTTCCTCCCCCATTTCCACTTTCTGCGTCCAGTCTGGCTTCTGGCGGGACAAGGCGTCAAAAACTGAATCCATCCGACTACGCTTTCTTTGCCTCGCTTCCACTTCCCACACACCCTCCTTCTCCATAATACCTTTCCACCACGTCAATCACCACCACACCGGCTCTCGATCCCATCACCCGGATCGCAACACCAAAGCAAGCCGCCGCCCAAAGGCACATTTAGCTGCACGAGGCGCACCGCATTTTATTCTCTTCCACCTGTCCACTTTCTTTTGTCTAGTTCTCCCGGGAAACGGCCCCTCCTCCATCCCCCTACTGGACTGGCTGCCCTCGAGAGACGCGACACGCCCACCACTCCGCTACCCACCCACTCGTCTTGACGACCACACAGTTTTCACATACACATCTCAGCAATGTCTGAGGTACAGAGCAGACCCGTCGCCGCGCGCGGCAGAGGCTCCGGCCGCGGTGGCCGGGGCGGTCTTTCGACTCGGGGAGGTCGCAGCGCGACCAGGACCAACGGCGATTCCACAGAGTCGTCGTCGCTGCCATCTCTAGAGGACGAGGGCGAGATTGGCCAGCTTAGGAAGCAATACGGCAGCAAGGTTGCCATCATCAAGGAGATGTTCCCCGACTGGTCGGACGTCGATGTTCTATTTGCTCTCAACGAGACAGACGGTGACGAATCCCTCGCTGTCACCCGCATTGCTGAAGGTACGTTGTCGGACTCCCACTCCGATCCCTCCTCTGCACCCCACCGCCACTTGCCTGCCTTAGCCAAGCTCTTCCTGTCTCAGCTTGTCGAGACGAGTGCCTGTCGTGTGCGCTGGGCCATTGGCTTCTCCGAGCTGCACGCTGCCCCGCCGTGTGGTGCACCCTGTTTGCTGCTACTGCTAGGTTACTAACACCAGCTTCTTTTAAATACAGGAACCATCTCGCAATGGGGCGAGGTAACCAAGCCCAAGAAGGTGTCCAAGCCCAAGACGAAGACCGATACTTTCACATCCACTCCTGCCGATTCCTTCGCTGGATCCACGAGACCTGTTAGAGGCGGCCGCGTAGACAGCGGACGTGGACGTGGCAGGGCCACCGAGCGAGGCGGTCGGGGCGGTGGCCGCGGCAAGCCCCTCAATGCGACGATCAACGGCCACAAGAACAAGGAGAGCGAGCAGCTTTCAGTTCCTACCGAAGAGGCCAACGTATGGGGTGCTCCCAAGCCCACCGAAGAGGCGAGTGGATGGCCCGAGGAGAGCTCGCCTTCCGCCGAGATTCCTGCCGCCGCGCCTGCTCCCGTTGCTCCCAAGCCCGTTGAGCCAGCGCAGAAGACCTGGGCTAGCATGTTGAGACAGTCTGTGCCGAAGCCTACCCCCAAGCCGAAGGAGGTCGCTCCTCCCAAGCCTGCTGAGCCTGTTATCGAGCCTCTCCCGCCCGCCGCCGAACCTACCCCTGTTGAGCCTGAGGTCCAGGCTGAACCTGAAGCTGAGCCCGAAGTCCCACAACCCGTCGAGGAACCTACGCCCGAGCCTGCTAAGAAGGAGGCTCCTCCTCCTCCTCCTCCCGCCGTCCCCGCGCTGCCTATTGTACCTATCGAGCCTGCCCTCCCCGCTATCCCCGTTGTTCCCGAAGTCGCTTTGAAGCCGTCCAAGGATCAACTTACCGAAACGAATCTCGAACAAGTTGCCGATGATTCCCACCCTCCAGAGACCGAGACCGCTGCGAGTGAAGCCGCCGACTCTTGGGATCCCCGGGCCCAGGGCCCCAGCGCTACTGCGACCCCCAACTCCGCGTCTCAGCAGCAGCATCAGACCTCCCGCGCCCCTGGCAGTGGCTTTGCTACGACTGCTTCCAAGGCCACCGATCGCACATCTACTCGTACCCCTACCTATGCCCGCCGAATCCTTGACCAGCAGGAGCCTGTCCGCATGCCTGGTAACCGTGACCAGGTCGACCGTGCCGCCGTTCAGTTCGGCGCTTTCAGCTTGAACGAGGAGGATGACATTGATGGTGACCGTGAGGAGCCCGAGACTCGTCCTCAGCCTCCTCAGGACTCTCCTGTTACCCAACCTCGCGCTTCTCTTCCTCCTGCGCAGCCTGCCCCGGTTCCTGAGACCTTCGCTGCCCAGAAGCCTGCGGCCTCGCTCCCTCCTACGGGCCCTGCCGGTATGACCCTTTCCTCATTAGCCAATGCCTCAAATTTGCGACTAATTCCATTCTTAGCCACTACCGCTACCGCACCCCCTACGGCCCCGACCCAGCCTGCTGCCGCCGCGGCCGCTTCTCAGGGTGCGTACTACCTCCCGATCTCGTCACTTGTAGATGATTCACTAAAGACCCCGGCTGAAGCAGCTACGCAACCCCCTACTGCGCCAAGCACTCAGCAGTTCGGCCGCTTCGGCCAGCCTGCGCCCCAAGAGCCCGCTCCTTTTGGCGCTTCCAAGCCTTTCGATGCTTTCGGCCAACAGCCTGGTGCTGTGGCTGCGCAAACCCAGTACGAGACTGGCTTCCCCGTTCAGGGCCAAGTTGCGCAAACGCAGAACCAGCAGCAGCCCGTCGGCGCATTCAGCTCGGCTCCCAGTGATTACTCTCAGTACTACACCGCTGATCAGAGCCGTTACAACTACTACGGCCAAAACAACTTTGGCCAGCAACAGGGCGCTCAAGGACAGCAAGACGGTCTGTCTCAGCCCCAGCGCGGCTTTGGATATAACGCGCCCCAGGCCGATAACCTTAGCCAGTATCCTCAGAGCGGCGCTCAGCATACTCAGAATCGCTTCGGTTCTGGCTCTGATATGGCCGGTACTCCTACCCCTAACCAGGCTGGAACCCAGGCCCAGACTGCTCAGACCACCCAGGCCCAGACTCACGGCCAGCAACAGCCGCATGATCAGTATGGCCCCTACGGCAGCCACCCTTACTACTCTAACCCTTATTACTCTGCGTACATGAACTACAACGGGTACAACCAGGGCGCTTACGGCGCTCCTTATGGAAAGGGCGGACTTGGTTACCAGCCCAACCAGTATGGCATGTCTCCCCAGGCCCCTCATGGATACGCTTCCTCCCCTGCCGGTTTTGGACAGTCCACTCTCCACCGTGAGACTGGTGTTGGAGCTGGTGGCCTGAACGATTATGGTCGCACCGCCTCCGGCCAGTCTGCTCAGCAGCAAGGTCTCGGTGGTAGCGGCTTCGGTGGAATGCACGATGCTTTCGGTCGTGGTGGCTCCAGCTACCAGTCTCAGGCCGGCCAGTCCTTCAATGCTCCCGGAACTCAGCCGGGTGCCGGTCCTTCGGCCTCTGATGACCTGAAGCCTTTCGGCGACTCCAAGGCTGCTTCCGGACCAAGCCCTGCCCTTGGCGGTGCCGCTCGTCCTGGCTCTGCTACCAACAATGCTCCCTCTCAGAGCGGCCTCCCCCCTCCGCAGTCGAACCAACAAAGCGGTCTCGGTGGTATGGGATCTTACGGCTACCCCAACCATCTCCAGGGACATGGTCTCCATAACCAGACCGGCACTGGTTACGGCATGGGCGCCACCGGCACCCAGGGTCACCAGAACACCTACGGTGGTTATGGCGGACAAGGTTTCGGCGGGGGCTACTATGGCAACCCTCCACGTGGCGGCTGGGGTAATAACTACCACTAGCGGAGGAAACCCAGACCAGACATTGTGGGTCATTAGGGCCGCACGGAATCAGAGCAGGATGTGGGAGGACAAGAAGAAGCCTCGCGCGTTTCTGCACACATAAGCAAATATCGTTTAGCGTTATTGATGGGATTCACCCCTCTCTCCGAGACTCATACTATCATCTCTGTGTACGATTTTTAACTACAACCGCAAAGGGACATGGCGTATTGACGAAACTCTATTTTGGCTGATGGTGGGATGGATTGTCTCTTCATAAATTGCTTCGTCTTGTTTGTTGTGTGGGTTTTTCTCGGTTATGCAGTTTTCTTATTCTTTTCTTTTTCTTTTCAAGAGAAACTCCTGTTTTTTTTTTTTTTACTCTCTCCAAGTCATTGCGTAGGGTCCAAAGGGCATGTCATGAAATTGGTGGGCATCATGAAAAACTCTATGTTGGTTTTTGCTAAAAGACAGCATCAACAAACTTTACTGGTTCTCTGTTCTGTGTCTTTGTTTTCCCCTCTTCTCCAAAACAGGCTTTTGTTTATGGGTCCAATGATCAAATTATGAGAATTTGTGAACTGGGATAACGGGGGAAAAAAAAAGGGGGATAAAGGATGAAAAAACAGGCGGCTCGGCTCAAAGCAAAAAGGAACAGGAAATCAACAACATGGAAAAATACATGATCATTGTCACCATCGGATTCTCTCGTGTGTGTTCTTGCTGCAAGCAAAGAGGGAAGGAGTTAATCGATAAGAAATGAATTCAAAGAGATGATGATATAAGTTGATGATAGCGAGACTGTGTCAATGTCCATGAACGCCCGCTTTTTGCATCTCCTGCTCAGTCAGTACCCTCCCCCAATATGGCAGATCCTGCAGATGAAGTGATGCATATGCTCACTACCGCCCATCCCCCGCCTGCCCATAATATCGAATTGAGTTTCCATGTAAGTATGTACTTGACCCATGACACCGAATTCGAACTTGTAAGCCAGCAAGCACTCCGGATTGCGGACTCCGGAACTCGGAGAAGCTATGTGACCTGGACCGTCAAAAGCCGGCGATCCACCTCCGATGGACCCCCGCCCGGAACCGTAACCCCCATTTTTTTTTTCTCGTTTTACCCCACCGTTCATCTGATCTCTATCGATCCCCCACCTCAACCTAGTTAGTCACAACCACCACCCACCACCCAAGACCATCCGCGGACAAGATATCATCACTGGACCATGGCTCAGCCTAGCCGGTGGCTTCGTGGTGTGAAGAAAAATGGAAGATGAAAGATGGAAAATAAAAGTAAAGGAAAAAAAAAAGAAAAAAAGAATGGGAAATCAAGCGGAAAGCCCCCCTGTATGGTATGGATCCGTACTACATAATGACTTTAGGCCACAAGTCCACCTGTGACATGTACTGTGGTACCTGCTTTTGGACTGGATCACTTTGGGCTATTCGTCTCGACACAAAGGTTGACCAAACAGTAGTCTGATTTCACTTTGGGTGGCAGTAACCAAACTCATTCAAGGCATTGAACTGTGATCTGTTGAGAATGAGAAACGATACGGGACAGAAGATGCGACAGGTGCTTGGAATTAGGGATGTTAAGGACTTAATGCATGGCGTTGTGTCAATACCTAGGCCTGCGTCTCATGTTCAATCACAAAATTTCTTTTTATTCAGGTAATAAGTAGATCATCACATCATGTTCATCCAAGCAGTCATCCCTCCCTCTTGATTTTATATAAAGCCGGCCCTTTTAAAATCTCAAAGCCGCGGCAACGCCCCCCTTGACCTTCAAAAGTCAGCATACTTCTTGAACGCACCCAAGAGACCGCCGGTAGAAGCGTCGTGCCCACTGCCCGCACCAGGCTCGTCAATCTCCTTGAGGATCTTCTTGGCCAACACCTTTCCGAGCTCGACACCCCACTGGTCGAACGAGTTGATATCCCAGATGGCACCCTCAGTGAAAGTGAGGTGCTCGTAGTAGACGATGAGGGCACCGAGCTCGGCGGGACCAATGTGGCCGCCGACAAGGATGCTGGTGGTGGGCCTGTTGCCGAGGAAGACCTTGTGAGGAACGAGGTGCTCGGGCACATTACCCTCAGCGCGGACCTCTTCGGCGGTCTTGCCGACCATGAGGGCCTCGGCCTGAGCGAGGTAGTTGGACGCCAGCATCTTCTGGTGAAGGTTGTTGGAGATGGGGTTGTGAGACTTGGCGGCGAGGATGAAGTCGGCGGGGATCAGCTTGGTGCCCTGGTGGACAAGCTGGAAGAAGGAGTGCTGGGCGTTGGTGCAGGGCTCGCCGAAAACGATGGGGCCGGTAGTGTACTTGGCCGCGGAACCGTCCGAGGTGATGGACTTGCCATTGGACTCCATCGACAGCTGCTGAAGGTAGGCAGGGAAGCGGTGGAGGTACTGGTCGAAGGGAGCAATGAGGTGAGTCTGGGCGTTATAGAAGTTGGAGTACCAGACACTCAAGATACCGCCGAGCACGGGGATGTTCTCCTTGAGAGGAGCGGTGCGGAAATGGTTGTCCATGGCGTGGGCACCAGCGAGGAACTTGTGGAAGTTCTCGTAGCCAACGTAGAGGGCGACAGACAAGCCGATGGCAGACCAAACCGAGTAGCGACCGCCCACCCAGCTCTCGAAACCGAACATGTTCTTAGCGTCGATGCCGAACTTGGTGACCTCGGCCTCGTTGGTGGAGAGAGCAACAAAGTGCTTGGTGATATCGCCCTGACCGCCGGTCTTTTCGAGGAACCACGACTTGGCGGTGTTGGCGTTAGTGATGGTCTCGGCGGTGGTGAAAGTCTTGGAAGCGATGAGGAAGAGGGTGGTCTCGGGATCAGAGGCAGCGAGGGCCTCGGCGATGTGGGTACCGTCAACGTTGGAGACGAAGCGAAGGGTCATGTCCTTGGCACCATAATGCTTGAGGGCCTCAGTGACCATGACGGGACCCCTGTGATGATACTTGTCAGCCAATGCTTCTCTCTCGGGCAGGGAGGCAGGACGTTTGAACCTACAAGTCGGAACCGCCGATACCAATGTTGATGATGTTGGTGAGCTTCTTGCCGGTGTAACCCTTCCACTCGCCGCTGCGCACCTGCTCCGAGAACTCCTTCATGTGCTGGAGGACCTCGTTGACGCCACCCTTGGTGTTCATGACATCAACACCGTCGACCTTCATCTCTTGGTTGGAGACGTTGCGAAGAGCGACGTGATAGACGGCACGGTCTTCGGTAAAGTTGATCTTCTCGCCAGCGAACATGGCATCGCGCTTCTTCTCAACGCCGGCCTCTTCGGCGAGGCGGACGAGCTTGTCAAGGGTCTCCTCTGTCACCAAGTTCTTGGAGAAGTCGAAGAGGATTTCGGTGGCATTGGGGCTGTCGCTCGAGATGTCGGCGGGGAGGGTGAAGGTACGAGCGAACTTGGAGAAGCGCTCGGGATCGGACTTGAAGGCATCCTTGAGGACAAAGGTCTTGCCAACCTTGGAGTGGTGCGACTGGAGGTCAGACCAGGCCGAGAGGGTGTTCGCGGGAGCCATGGTGGTGATGTTGTGTGTTTTCGATCGACTGCGAATGGCTTTCTAGGGTCTATGACGTCGATGAGGATTAGAGATTACTGCTGTCGCTAGAGTTGAGACAGGATGGAGAGAGGAAGGATGAAGAGCAATATGGGAAGAAAGGAGGAAAAGCACCTGATGATGGGTTGGGTTCGTCTAGTAATACACTTATATCATGCAAGCCTGCTCGCTTCCTTGATGCCGGAGAGCTGCTGATGGGGAGACGACGGTGGGCATGGTGGGGTTGATAAGGTGAGCTCGCGGTGCAAATGCGGGGCAATTGCGTAACTTGAATGTATAGCTTGGTACATGCACTGTACATCCGAGTGCCTGGCTAACGTGCGGCAATGTTAGCCGGTCCGATATGTAACAACATGATCGCCAACTTCAATCAACAACTACCATCAATAGTGCCCGCTTTCGCTATTTGTTAGCACTATATGAAAGTGATGTTCTGATATACCAGTCCCAGTGTCTTTGGTCTTGACCGGGCCACAATCGGTGAAACTTGGTCGCATATGGTGTGAGACAGAGAGACCAGAAGTGAACAGGGGTTGGAAATGGCGGTAACTGAACTTTTTCGCAGTTCATCACATCTTTCAGTCTGGTAGCCCCGAGGTCACTCGCTCCCCGTTGATCGCCGGGATTCACGGGAGCTTTTCTATACCGTTCCCAAGAGCCCGTTCGTTACTAATCCGTTTTCTCCCCTGATCCATCTGCTTGCAAATGCTGCCAAAAGTTCCTCTTAAACAAAACAAGAAAGATCCATGCCTACAGCCTCTGATTGATCATAAGACCCGAATTCGGCTGTACGAGCGAGCAGCTTTGGGCTTAAGACCTTGCACAACTACATTGATGTGACATTCCGGGCTGCTCGGCTGCCTGACCCTATTCCACCTCATCGTGAGTTTGGTTCCCAAGCAAACGTCGAGTTGTGTCCCGTGTTTCGTAAAAGTACTTGACATTGTTTGTAAGTATAACAATGAAACAAATCACTGCCCAACTCCTATGTGAAAATGTACCTAGGTAGCTCAAGTCACAAATATGGATAGACTAAACACAAGATAAAGAAAAGACTTTGAAAGCCCATTGTCCAGCGACTGAGCACTTGGCTGTCACCTCTACGCTCAGCCTGACCCACCAATGGGTCAATCACAGCCGCGACACAACCGCTTAACTGAACCTGCCTCTATGCTGCATTTGCTATATTCCCGTTGCCCAAGCCAAAGTTTCTACCTCTCTTTTACTTTGTCTATCTCCTGCTGCTGTTGTCTTGAAGACTGCTCGCGAATGATGGGTCCTTGACACTGCCACCCGCATCCCCGAGACCAGCAATAGGACGGTTGTAACTGAAGCCCGTGAACTGGTTCTGCATCGTCTCTGACAGAATCGGTCCTTCCACGTAAGAATCCTGAGGAAGTTCCGATGTGAACTCGGGGTCGAAGTTGGCGGTGTCGAGCGCGTCAACCTATAGTCACCGTAGTTAGCACATTGAACTTGTTCAGCCGGTGAGTAAGCAGCGCTCTTGAGACTTACCACATTGGGCTTGAACGCAGGCTCGTACTTGCGCTGCAACAACTTGCGCCAATCTATGGCGTGGAAGAAGGGGTGCGCCTTAATCTCGGCCGCCCCGTTGGCACCGAGACGTTGTTGCGGGTCGCGGTTGAGCAGCTTGGTCAAGAGGTCCTTGGCAGCTGGGGGTACCACCTCGGGTCCGGGGAAGTGCAGCGGTTCACTAAGGATCTTGCGGTACATCTCGTTGGTGTTCTCATCGTAGAAAGGCGGGAGACCCGTCAACATCTCGTACAAAAGCACACCCAATGTCCACCAATCGACAGTCTTGTTGTAGCCATTACCCATCAGCAATTCGGGCGCCAAATATTCAGGGGTGCCGCAAAATGTGTTGGTGCGGTCCTCATCCTTCATGTCCAGCTTGCAGAGACCGAAGTCGCAGAGAGCGATGTGACCTTGGTAGTCGAGAAGAATGTTTTCCGGCTTAAGATCACGGTAAATGACGTTGAAACCGTGAAGGCATTCGAGCGCACACAGCAGTTCGGCCGTGTAGAAACGACTGCGGTTGACGTCGAATCGCTGCTCTTTCTGCAAATGATGGAACAGCTCGCCACCATTGACAAAGGCGAGGACAAAGTATAGCTTCTCGGGACTCTGGAAGGTGAACTTGAGCGGCACGATAAACGGGTTGTTGATCTGGGCCAGAACGGATCGCTCAGCGAGCGTGTGGGCGACTTCGGAACGCGAGATGATGTGCGCCTTGCGAATCGTCTTGAGAGCGTAGATACGGTTCGTGTCCTTCTTGCGCACCTGCATGACCTTACCGAACGAGCCCTTGCCGACGACCTTGAGAAGCTCGAAATCCTCAATCTTGAGCTTACCGGCGCGGTTCTCCACATACTCAACGCCGATCTTAAGCTTTCCGGTACCATACTGAACGTCAACCCACTCCACACCGCTGTGTCCGAGGGCGCGCTCCTTGTTGGCAAAGTCGGCGGCGGCCTTTTCCCGGTCCTTCTTGCTGGCCTTGGGGTCATCGACGAACTGCTGCTTCTCCTCGAATCTTGGGTTAATACGGACAACACCAAGGAAAATATCTTGGCTGCGGCCGGAGCCAGGAGCCGCGTTGGGGTTCCTGATGTAAAGATGTACGGCAAGCTCCGTAACTCGAGACACATCGAACTTGTACTGAGTGTTGGAGCCGGCCCAGAGGGGGTTTTCGGGGTTGCCTTCGACCGAGTTGACAAAAACTTGAACCTTGTCAAAATCTATGAGGGCATAGGGCATGTACTTTGTGGAGATACGGCCGTGATTTGTAGGAATAGCGCCAAAGCCGCCCGAGCTCTGTGGGCGCGAAGAACCGCTCAGGAAGTTGGCTGTTCGTGACGAGTTGTTGGTTCTAATGGAGCCTGCAACGTTAAGGGCACTTCCCGTCGACATCGAGTTACCGCCATGGTTTGAGGAAAAGACATTCCGATACTGTTCGGGTAGCGAGAAGCCGGAACCCTCGTGGAGGGTGACAACGAGGATACCGGGCTTAGGAGGCTTGACGATGGGAGCTTGCGTGAGGGCTTCCGAGGCGGCTGTGAAAGGAAAAGAGGTTAATCTTGTGATGGCCGAGTGAACAAGACGGGCTGAGCGCCTACCAATGGTGTTCTCGTTCGAAGGGGTGGCTGCTCCCGAGCTGCCCGCTTGGCTCTTGTCTTCCTTATCTGTGATGGTGGAGGTAGAGGGCGAGCGGGAGAAGGGGCTTGAAAGAGGACCCAAATGGGTCTCCTTCAGCTCTGGTGTGCCAACATGTCAGATATGGTGTTCTGCCGTGGGGAAAGGGAAAGGGAAAGGGAAAAGGCGAGGGTTCGCCGACATACTCTTTGTGAGTTTCCACGACATTTTGCTGTCTGGCAGAAACCTAAAAGGGGAATGGACGTAGGTAGGGTGGACCAGCCGTAGGATACGAAAGGACTGAGGGTTGGACGCCAATAGGAGGTTTGACGGATAGGAGAAGATCTAGGATAAGAGCGAAGAAATACGAAGCGACGAGGCTGGGAAGAGAGTAGGTATGATAGGTAGGCTGGGTGACGTGACAGCGGGCGGTTTCGATGTCGGCGTCGGCGTCGAAGTTGGTGTCGGTGTCGATACCTCCGAGGGGGTCGGTGTCAACAGAAGAAGTGGACTGTAAGGGCGAGAAGGCGCCAGGAGAAAAGGAGGCCTGGCTGTCCGGAAATCCAAGACTCTAATCGACCGAGGGCGACAGACTAGGAGGCAACTACTGTTTGGCGCAGCAGCAAGGTGGTGTGAACAAGACTCGTGTTTAGAGTTGGATGGATGGATGTTTCAAGTAAGTCGGGTCTAGGTTGTGTAGAGAGGTACAACAACGAAGACGACGGGACGGAGGGAACCTCGACACAAAGCGGAAGGCGGACAGCGAGATGCCACTGATGACGGGAGGATCGATAGAATCCCAAGGTGTCGGGCGGGAGTGCGTGCTGCTGCTGTCCAGGTAGGGGCCAGGTGGTGCAGTGGGTGGTGGTGGGCTGGCTGTGTGGGCGTGGTGCCCCTGGACGCGGTTGACAGCGACGGGAGCGCAGCAGGATGGAATGGTGTGTTCAGCCGGCGGGATCCTTGTTAGTGGCTGATGCGGGACCCAGAGGTGGAGCAGATAATCTGGTCCCGTCTCCTGCAGGTGGTCAGGTCGCTGGGCCTGTCTTGCCCTGCCGCGGGCCCCGCTTTCTCTCCTTTTTGGACCCAGTGATTCGCGGCAGGCCTGTTAGGCCAGGGCGTCAGCTGGGGGGGCTATCGCTAACAAAAACGAACATACCTACCAAGCACTGCCCTGGTGGATGGAAAAGACGGGAAGTCGGGTGCTGCTGACAAGTGGAAAGTGGGGTACTCATTGCCCGCCGGGGTCCAGTTTCTGCTTCAGTCAAATCTCTCCCAAGATCGAATCACCGTCACAGACACTCTGCCATTGAGACGATCACAACAAGCCGACAAGATGAAAGAATGGAGAGACCCCCAAAATCCAATATGCGCCAACAGCCCGACTTGTCAGATGCGGCCCGATGCCCAGGGAAGAAACCTGACGGGTTCTGTGCTTCAGAGCCATGCCAGCCATGCGTCTTTCTGGTCGTGTTTGAGGCTGATGGAACAAGCGGCGACAAATGCCACTAAAAACTTGACAACCTCTCTTCCACAGCACTCTGATTGTCACCACGTTGCTAATTTTGGGTTCCAATTTTCTTGGGCTCATCGGCCGCAGTCACCGTTTACGACACCCGCAAGATTGCCCGACGGACTTGCAGTATAAATCTGTCGACAGGATCTCCGCTTCATTTACACTACATACGCGCAGACACACGCTGTAGCAATGGTACAAGTCAGACCCACGAGGCCAAGTCCCTGGACACGCCCTGGGGGCCAACCTGGAACGTCTGGTCGATCGACACCAAGTCGACGTTTCACGTTGTTATAGCAAGCCAGAGCTATCCTGCTACAACTGATCTCGGAGACTTTCCATATCCAAAGAGGAACAGAAACAGGACATGATTGATAATGATGGGCAAGATAAAACAAGACTTGGTGGCTACGACATTGGCGGTGCCAGGGTGCGTCTAACCAAAACCTGAGACACCTCTTGCCAGCTCTCGATCGGTTTCATATGCGGACTGCGGAGAGCCACCAAAGAGGGGCAGAGGGGCAAAAAATAACAAAGAAAGATGCCCCCAACCAAAACAACAGGGGAAGTTCAGGGAATTGTCAGGTTGTTCCTCGACCTCTCCATGACAGCTAGGATCTGTCACGTGGTCATCAGCCAGGAGGACCCGGCTACTTGACTAGGCTTCTAGGGTCGTTGTTGCTCGGCCATCGATGCCGAGGATTGATTCGGTTTCTATCTCTTTTTCAGCCTGGAGCATCCAAAAATAACGGTTCTCGATTGAGGATGGCAATTCAAGCCGGCATTGCTTTCCACTCCTCCAATCCTCCAAACCCTCGAGTTCTAAAAGACACTGCAGTGCTTGGAAAAACCAAATCCCGATGTTGGGTTGGTCACGAAGACGGTGTGTTCTACCCGTACATCGAAAACCCTCGTCCTTCGCAACTGTTCGCCATATACTGCCGTTGAGTTTCCATTTCAAGTCATTTGTCATCTTTGTTTGCCAGCAAAAAGCTTCACTTCCTCTTTTCATCGATCCTCGCCCTCACTTCACCCTTCCTCGCTCCGGCCATACTCTGAAGCAAAACCAAAACCCTGATCACTGCCAAAGGCACAGTTGCCCAAAATAGGGTCCAATCTGAGGCTTCCCATTCTCCAACTTTGATCCACTGACTCCATCCGCCTACCCCTTGTATCACGGACCAGCTATACCCAGCATCACTGAGGAGCATGCCGACACAGAGCAGCTGCCATAGACGCAGATCGTCATACAGCCGAAGGATAACGGCTTGGATGAAGGCAAAGTACAGCCATCCACTCCCAATCTGCGTGTAGAGATATTGCGAGGGAGCATCGTAGGGCACAGATGCGCGCGTCATCATGGCCGCGTATTTGGCTGGCTGAAAGAAGACCATGAAAGCGCCGTTGATTGCGAAGAGGGGTTCGATATAGAGCAAGATGATTCGATAGAGAAACGGGATGGTAGCTGTAGCAGAGGCGGTGGCAGTCGGAGATGTTGGCGCCATGATGATGTTGCTTGGAGAGACACCGGTATGGTACGTATGTTTGTTTGAAGATAGTGCTTGGTTCAAGTGGCTGGGGTGAAGCAGAACCAAAATTGAAACTCAAGGCCAGAGGGTAGGCTTGCGGGGGGGAAGAGGTTCACACTAAGTAAGCTGGTGGGGGTCCACTTGCTCGGACTTTCAACAAGCAGGCAGATGATATTATCAGTCAGCCAGTAAGCTGACAGCCGCCGATCATGCGAGGCCAACATTTATTTTTTTTCGATGCTTGAAGTTCGCGGTCTCACATGGTCTTTTGGAATGGAGTGCGGACAAACAACATGATGCTAACCGCTCATGAGAGCTAGACATTCAGGCGAGCGGAACCACATACAACCAACAAAGTGACGAGATATTCTTTGAACTAGCCATTCTTCGAAGCCCATGGATCTCTTCGATAAATGGCGAGGCGGTACTACCTCAAGGGTATGAGGAAGAAGCAGTTGTGACCGAGCCCTTTATTATAGCAGAGAAGCAGAGAAATAAACATTGTTTGCGAATCCAATCATGTTATTCTCGCGTACACCCGTAAGCAGTCAGCCGCTTCGCGCCCCCATTCAGATATGGTTCGTGTGCAACAAACTAACTCGCATCCTCTCTTGGTGACCAAGGACGCGACAAGCAATGAAGCTAAGGGTAGCGGAACGGGCCAGCACCTCCGTCCCCGCCACTGATATCATGAGCGCTACCAACTCTAGTAACTCACTCATCGCAACTCAAGCCTTAATTTCGAGCGCGAAGAAAGACAAATCAACAAAAAAAGGCAAAAAAGCAGAATGCCCCCATTGAGGAGTCAAGCTCTGAGACCTTGGAGTCGGAAGTACGGAGACCACTAGGGCTGCCCTGAGGAACACCAAGGTCTATACATCCACTTCGCTGAAGAAGGAGAAAGCGACTAACTGCATTTCATAAAATCTTTCTGAACACAACTTGATCAGCTGTTGATGTGCTGATGAGCGTTACATTGACCCTACTTCTATTCTTATCTAGCTCCCGGGACAATGCTCTGTCCGTTGTTGCTACCACGGGAACATTTCAGTCTAAGTGATTCGAGGCCTTCGATACCGCTTAGCTCTCCTCGGCGAATTCTTTTTGCTTCTATATATCGAACATAGCTTAGCCAAACCAACGAAACAGCAGAAATACCCTCAACCCTTCCAGAGAACATTCTCTTCATCAACCTAGAGCCCGCCAACCGCACTCTAGGCTTCGAGTCACTCTGGTACCCAGGCACAACCCTGGTCGCATACAAAAGTTACGTCAAACTCAAAGCCGACACACGAAAGAGCCTTCAACTTGGGTCCAAGAGACGAGAAATTCCTCACCTCACCCACGTGGTTCGACTATCGAGCCCTAGGCGAGCTAGCCAAAGTCGAATTCGGTTTTAACATCACCGAGTCCTTCATAGGCTGACATGGCCCAGTTTGCTCGGGATTACATCAAGAAGAAGACGTTCGCCGATGCTCCGAAGCTCAAAGTGCCGGATCTGTCAAGAGGAACTCTACCACGCCGGCTTTGACAGTCGCTGAGGAGACATGAACATGGAGTAGACATGCGCCACTCAATCTTGTGGTCACATCATTGGTGTCATTTGCTACGAGAAATGGCATAGTGGCAGTTGGAGGAGGAGGAGGAGGTTATCGTATTGTCACGTTGGCATGTCCTCTTTGTTGAACGGAACTTCATTGCCAGAAGTGTGGGAAGCCGTATGTACCTTAGGATGCACGGTACGTATGTTCCCAGTTGTCGTGATTTGAAGTTGAGGCCGGGGAGAGAGATGTTGAGGCTTCTTATCTGACGAAGGAGATAGCTTGGGTCGGATGTATGATGAGGAGCAGTGAGGGATGTGTTTGTGACTGAAGTTGAGTGTTCTTCAACAATGATTTGGGATGTTGTAAAACCGCAGCAACGACGTTAATTTAGATTTGAAGAGGCACGTTTACCTCCGTCTGCATCTTTCCATTACTGTACCTATCCTACGTGGCTTCGATGATACAAAATACTTGCAATGTACCGACGTAAGCTTTGAAATACCCAGCATTTCATTTATCTCGTATAAGTGCTGATGTTGCTGACTGTACTCTCTGTTCAAAATAGCTCGCGAGTTCGTGATGTTTCTTTCTTGTGGTAGTGTCTACCGTACTACCGCAGAAACACGGGAAACTCAATGGCTCAACGTCAGTCGTTTCCCAGGTCCAAGTACCTTCCGGAAATTGTACATGCGGCTGCCGAATACATTTAACTCTGCGAAGCCATTGTGAGTTCCCCAGGTTTACATGGTACACTGCCCCCCTGAGAAGCCCATTGGACACTCATGAAATACTCATGCGACGGTTGATCAGTAGCTCAAGCTACACACTGTTTCGGTTTATCAAAGTATCTATACCTCTATGGATAGTATGCTCTCATCCCACAGTCACCACCTTTGACACGCGTTACTTTACATCTTTCTCGATGTTACAAGACGAGATGGCATCAAGAAGGCTGGATGAGACCTACGAGTAAGTGCAAGCAGCCAGTCCAGCACTTTTACCTTTTCTTGTCCCAAAGAGAAATGGTATAGACAAGCTTGTAAACGTCTGGAAAGCCCAATGGCAGGATCAAAATGCCGACGATGTATTCTTCACTGGTGATGAATCCTGTGACCCAATAAGCCGACCCGCAAGTGTGGGTCGCCACATCTGTTTGATCAACTTCAACTCATAGCCAAAAGCCGAAGGGCATTCCGAATCGAGATATCATGTGGACTGGCAGACCTGTCTTTGCCTTGTGACGTTGTTCAACACTGTTCAAGCTGTACTGACAAGATGTCAGAGATCATCTCAGCAAGAACGTAAACAGGCTCAGATCCTGACAACTACGGAAGACTGCCGCAAACAGTATAACCAGTACCCCGAAAGTCTTGTTCTACAAACTCGGTTCTCGCGGTTCAGAAGCTTGAATAGGATTCATGATTTGTTGGATGGCTACTCAGCCGGTGGCTTCTTAGCCAGTATGAGAAGCTCACATCGGGGAGAAACGAATGCGGGCAGCCTGATGATGGCTGATCAGCTTGCCCAACTAATAGCGCATCGCATGGGCCCTTTTCGTATGTATTGGGTTTTGCCTCGGGAGCTCGGACTGTGGTCTTTGGTCGTAGCTCCTTAGAACAAGATTCTAGCTAGATCCGAATCCTACCACCGTTTACCTCGTTAACCTTTACCTGTTCCATCTCCTTGGGCGTGGAGTGGTTCAAATCTCCACCTGCGAACGACGATACATCAATACCCGTACAATTGTTGACTCCAAATCGTGACATGTAGGTAGGTGAGTGAAGGGTTAATCTCCACCGGGGAGGCTCTCATTACTTTTGAGTCAGGGATCACTTGTCATCAACGTGGAAACCCAGCAGTTTGATTGCGCCGACATGCAAAGACGGTCTTCAGCCAACCACTTGACCGACGCCACTCTACATACTGTATGGTGGATGTTTGCTCGTAAAGATGCTTGCCAAAGCGGATCTTTATTGGTTTCCCTTGAGAACATTTGAACGTGGGCTCGACAGTCCCGTTCAATTTCCGACGTTAATATGACAGCATCGTTATTTTCAAGGTACGTGCCACGCTCTCCATGATCGTCCAGCCCTACCATGGTGAGACCGAGAGTTGGGGCAACGTCACAGTCATTGAGCGCACCAACCCCTCCAAAGTATCAAAATAGAATGGGATGATGCCATGGGATTTCTAGAATGGGTATAAAAGTACACAATAGGTATGTAGTTACCAATATGACGAGATTCCAAGCAGTCAGTCAGTTGGCTTATACGAGAAGAACGGAATTTCTTGCCGATGGGAAAAGGCGAGGAGGCACTCTGAGTGGTTGGAAACCGCTGTTTACCGGTACAAGGAGGAGTGAACGGTGTAAAGGAACTTCCAGAAAAGGGAGGAAATAACTAATGACAAGCGCAACCAAGAAAGTTCAACAGGTTTGAAGCCGAGGGCCAAGCAAGCCGAGTCGCCATCTGCATTGGCACCGACATCCCAACCAGTCATGCGTTCCTGCGATCGTCCGAACAAAGGACTTTCTTGATATCCAATCACAAAATTCTCCAGCTTGAATGGTACCTTTGTTTGGGCCTCGTGGTTGCCCATCGACCCGGACTTTGTTCTTTGCCCTTATTTCCAAACGCTGCATGGCGTGTCGTTCTGTGCGCGGATAGCCATTCAAGATGCGTCCGTGATGGGTTTTTCCGGGGAAGTAGGGGCTTTCAGTTGTTGCACCACATCGACATGACAACTCACGGCATGTGTGCAAATCGCTTCCCCCTACGGACGGCGTAAGGCAGGTACTCTGACCTGTGCAGCTCGTATTTTGTGCATGGCTCGCCGAGATTCGTTCGCTTAGTCGAGCATTTCGCAAGTTGCATGTCCAACGGTCAGAATCAAGGTTACGCACGAGAGAACAACACCATTGTAACCCTCTTTGTCATCAGCATCACCATCATCACCTTTTCCACTCTTCATCTCAACACTCACTCTAGTGTACCATGGGGGATCCCCCACACAAGAAACCCATGGAAGCAAACCCATCGTCAAAAGGGAAGGAGGTCGATAACAATAACACGGCTGCTTGGGAGACAACATCCCCCAGAAAAATCTCCGCAACAAACTTAACGCCGTCTAGACCACACACCATCGGTCCCAATAATATCGAGCCAAGCCCCTCTCTAGCGTGGACAGCGGCTATCTGGCCGATTACAGTTGGGCGCAAAACTGATTGCCATTGGGCGGATGGACAGGCCAATGGACAGGTACCATGGCTTGAGATGGCAGGTGGAAAGTTGCAGTAGCTCGTCCGCATCTGGACTTGATAGGAAACCCCCTGATTCCCTGTCAGCTCACGATCCACAATGCGACCTCACCACCTGTGTAGGGCGCCACCGAAGGCCAAATATTGGCTGAATTTCGTATTGCCCAGCTGCTGCCCGCTTTGGGAATGGCACCTAAGCCTTTTTCCAGGTCCCGGGGACCAAGGCTAGCCCCAGAGGCTATCGATTCTGGTGGCTGTCGGTTAAAGATGGGCAGATATTTTCGTCCTTTGCTTCTTTCTTTTATAAAGAGAAGTCCGGTCCCATTCGGGGTCACCAGTGTGCCCTCCTCTCTGGTCCCTTTCTTACTTCTCCTCGCTGCAACAAGGGAAATAGTCTGCCCTTTGTAATATCTAATACCACCCGCAGTCGCTCGTTTGTCTGCAGATACGGAGAGGACTTATCAACCGGATTACCTTATACTCTCGTTGTTGATAAACATACTGTGTTGCTCCAGGCGTCGGTCGTTTTTTTCATATCAGCAAGCAACTAAGGATATCTCAAGGACACAATGCGCGCCGCTACTCTTGCTCTGGGGGCCTTGTCCCTCGGCCTGGCCCAGGCATGGACGTATCCTGACTGTGTAAGTGATCACTCCTCTGTATAACACTCAAACCAAGACTTTCTCACTGACACGGGATATCAGGACCCTGACAACTGCTACAATGAGATGACGGACGAGCGGTTTTACAACCAGGTCAAGGAGTTTTGCCCCGGGTTTTTGGGTGGAAGCATTGAGACTATCCCGGATTACCTCGAGAACTGTAGCAACGATCGCAAGGCTGTCAGCTCTGCCTGCTCCTGCGTCACCTATACCGCAACTCACACGACCGGGGCCTCTACTATCCAGACCAGTGTTCCTGCCGTGACGACTACGGCCTCGGACACCACGGTTGCGCCCACGACCTCTATCCCCGACATCACCCAACCGCCCTCTTCTACCGTAACGAGTGCCCCGCCCACTTCATCCACGACTACGGATGATGATTCTGATTGTGAGGATGAGCCTGAGACTTCGACGGACGTTACTGTGCTGCCCTCTTCCTCGGCAGTCAGCACCTCGGCGACCATCACCGTTCCCCCCTCTTCCTCGGCTACTATCACCGTTCCTCCCAGCTCGGCAGTGAGCTCCGCTCCTGTCTCTTCGACCACCGATGATGAATGCACTGACGACGAGCCCGAGACTTCGACTGACGTTACCGTCCCTCCCTCTTCTTCCGTCACCATTACTGTTCCTCCCAGCTCGGTAGTGAGCTCCGTTCCCGTCTCTTCGACCACCGATGATGAATGCACCGACGACGAGCCCGAGACTACATCTTCGGTTGTGGTGGTTCCCTCTTCGTCCATCCCCGTTACCATCACTTCCGCGGCCCCCGTTTCATCTACTACTTCGGCCCAGGAGTCCGGCACCACCGAGTGGACGACCAGCACCATCGTCACCACCACCACCCGCACAATCACGCAGTGCCCTACCACCGTCACCGACTGCCCTGCTCACTCAACCACCGTGACCACCGAGACCATCACCATCGGTACCACTGTCTGCCCTGTTACTTCGACCGCTTCCGAATCCTCGGTCCCCCCGGTTACCGTCATCCCCAGTGCAACTTCTTCGTCGGTCCCAGTTGGCATCACTTCTGCGGCCCCTGTGTCCTCGACCTCGAAGGCTCCCGTCGAGTCTTCTTCTGAGTCCTCCACCGAGTGGACGACCAGCACCATCATCGCCACCACCACCCGGACCATCACTCAGTGCCCCGTCACCGTAACTGACTGCCCTGCTCACTCGACCACCGTGACCACGGAGACTATCACCATCGGCACCACCGTCTGCCCTGTGACTTCTACCGCTTCCGAATCTTCGGTCCCCGTCACCGTCACTTCTGCGGTCCCTGTGCCCTCGACCTCAGTCCCCATTACTATCACTTCCGCGGCCCCTGTTTCCTCGACCTCGGCTGCTCCCATCGAGTCTTCGTCTGAATCTTCCATCGAGTGGACGACCAGCACCATCGTCACCACTACCACTCACACTATCACCAAGTGTCCCATCACCGTCACCGACTGCCCAGCTCACTCGACCACCGTCACCACCGAGACTATTACCATTGGCACTACCGTTTGCCCTGTTGAGCCTACTTCCTCTTCGGTTCCCGTTACCATGCCTATCTTCACCTCCTCGGCTCCTGTGACCATCCCCATCGTCACTTCCTCGGCTGCTCCCATTCCGAGCTCTAGCGCTGTGGTGGTCCCTCCTCCCGCTCCCAGCTCCAGCACCGTGGTTGTTCCTCCTCCCGCTCCCAGCTCCAGCGCCGTGGTTGTTCCTCCTCCCGCTCCCAGCTCCAGCACCGTGGTTGTTCCTCCTCCCGCTCCCAGCTCCAGCGCCGTGGTTGTTCCTCCTCCCGCTCCCAGCTCTAGCGCCGTGGTTGTTCCTCCTCCCGCTCCCAGCTCCAGCGCCGTGGTTATCCCTCCTCCTGCTCCCAGCTCCAGCGCTATCGTCAGCAGCGCTGCCCCCGTCCCTGTTCCCAGCAGCAGCACTTCTTCCGCTCCTTCCGTTTCCGCTCCTCCTGCCATCAGCTCTACCATCAGCTCCATCGTTGTCGTCCCTAGCTCCAGCGCCGTCCCTCCCCCACCTGTGGAGGCTGGTGCGAATGCTGCGGCGAGGAGTGGATTGCTGGGTGTTGTCGGGTTGCTGTTCGCTCTTCTTTAAGAGAGGAATACACATGGTACCCTGAGAACCTAGGAACTCAGGAAAGCTACGATGCGGAGCATGACTTTTTTATGATTTTGGACATATGAAGGAAGGAAAGGATATTATTAGGATTTGGATCGTTGGACATATATGCACATCATATAATATGACACGACATAACATAACAAAACATAACATAACATGGAGAAAAAGTTAACTTTCTTGTTTATATTGAAAATAAAATGGTGTTTACTTTTTTACTCATATTTCTTCTCTTTCTCATTTTTTTGCCTGATCAGTGTGACAGCTTGCGTACCTTTGCTTTCAGAGAGAGAGAGTATCAGTACTTACTCAAAAATTTTCAACCCCAAACCCAATCATTGAGTGAGTCAGTCAGTCAGTCCCAAAAACCCGAGCAACATGCAGTAGCATGGCAACTTCCGTTTAAGTTCCCACGTGGCAGAGCCGTCCATCAGTGCCTTGGCTTTGTCGTCACTTTTGCTTTTTGAGCCTTTTTGTCTTTCATCTTACAACCCACGTCACATGGATGGAAAGTAAGACATTCAGGGTCTTTGTTAAACGACACGGAATGAATGTCTCATATCTCGGGAATCGGTGGAAGTCAAGAGCAGCAGCCCAATGAAAGATGACCGACCCAGATACCCGGGTTCCTTTGTTGTTGTTGTTGTTGTTGTTGGGTAAAAACCCCTGACGGGTCTTTGTTATCCTGGATCTCTTATCTAGATAGATGGTGACTCAGGAACAAAAGAATAAAGAAACAAAGGAACTGAAAGACGATGGGTAGAATCTTCGATGGAATTTCTGGAAGTTCTCTTTATGGGGCCACTTGATACAGTCAATCGGCACCGAGGAGCTTGGTCAAGATGTCATCAGGCAGCTGGAGATTTGTGAGCGTTATGTCCTAACTTGGGATACTCATTCATTCTCTTGATCAATTCGGTAAGATTTAGTTTACCAAGGTTTGCAATGTTAAATTTAAAGTCTGTGTACCTTGAGGCGCGATTGTTTTGATGATGTGATCTCTACTGGTTCAGGAAGAAGTCTTCCTTAGTATCAATTTACTTATATACGCTCGTATAGTATCGCTGAATCTCTGACTATTATCCGACCTTACACTCTACAATACCCCAGTGAAGAGCCCATCTATGACTTAGGACCCCTCCTCCCAGCCTTTACTACCCTTCCCTTGTCCAGCACAATCTCAAAGTCCGCATCTTTAACCGCCTCCACCTTGTGCGCAATCGTAATTACAGTGCTATGCCGTAACTCCATCCTCAGCAACTGGTGAATATACGTCGCTGTCTCAACGTCAATTGACGCCGTTGCCTCGTCCATGATCACAATTGCACTCCTTCGGAGAATCGCCCTGCCTAGCCCCACCAACTGACGCTGACCCTGACTGAGATTCTTGCCCCCGCCGTCCACTCTGGTGTCAAGCGTGAATCCGTTATTCAAAACTGTCTTGAGGACCTGAGCCCGCTCGTCCTCACTGTGCTCATCTAATGGGTCAAGATTATCCCTTAGTGTACCGGCAAAGAGGACGGGATCCTGCGCTACAAAGGTTATGTGTCGACGCAGTATATGCTTGTCCACTTTGGCGATGTCAACGGAACCTATACGGATCTGACCGCCTGTACCCGCATCAGGCTGGATCGTGCTAAGCAGGGCATAGGCGAGCGTACTCTTGCCGGAGCCAGTCCTACCTGTCACCGCCACAGTCGAGCCGCCGGGAATGACCAAGCTCACGTCCACCAGAACGGGGTCAAATTCGGGTGCATAGCGCAACGTCACCTTGTCGAAGACAATGTCATCGGTACAAGAAGGCCAGCCAGCTGGAGGCGGGTTGTCGGTGTTTGCTTGCTCCTGTTCGAGGCTGAGAAGTTCGATGATACGCTCAACGCTGACAAACTGCATTTGCATATCTCCATAGCGACGGCACACTTGATGCGTACTCTCTACAAAGTTGGCAGCGGCCGCTAACACAAAGCCAATCATGCCGCTGGATAGTCCGTGGATGATGGCCGTCAGGGTCAGGGCGTAGACCGAGAGGCCTGACACAAGATCGAAGCGGTATTGTAGCCAGGCCTGCAGTGACCAGTATATGTGATCCATTTTCTGAAAGTCATCGGTCGTGGCGATGATGCGATTCTGAAAATGTGGCTCTGCGCGGAAGGCACGTACCGTAGTCAAGCCTTCGAGAAGCGTGCCAAAATTCGACATAAGCGGCGACAGGGAGACCGTCTCCAGACGACGCAAGTCCTGGGATGCAGGTAGGTAACGGCCATACAAATAGACAAATAACATGGTCATGCCAACGCTGGGTACAATGAAGACCGGTGTTGCTGTTGCTATCACGAACATTGAGGTCATCCAGCCCAGGGAATAGAACGCTAGTGTTAACACCTGAACCGCAATCTGCCCGTCGATCGTGCCCATGTCGGAAGTAAGACGATTCATGAGCCGTCCAACAGGTGTCACGTCGTAGAAGCGAAATGTGGCATTCGTGACGCAGCGCATGGCCTTGGCGAAGAGGGACTTTCCAGCATTGTACATGATAGCGATGAGGGCAAGATCCGATAGGGCTTCGAACAAAACCTGAACCAGCGCAATGATGGCCAGACAGATAAGCCAAGGTCGTACGTTCTCTCCAGGTGGAGGAAGATGTCGGCCGGGCTCAATGATGCCGTCGGCTTTGAAGTCGGGGTGGGAGATGAGAATGTGTGGTCTATCTCCGAGCTCAGTTGACTTCCGATATTGTTCGCCCCATTCTTTCAAGAACCAGTTATAGCCGAGATTGGTCATCCGTATCAGTAAACAGAGCGTGACCATCGTGGCCCACCAAGAAAGTTTACCGGCCTTAACATATTGCCAGTAGACGGTGGCCATAACACCACCATGTACCCGGTGTTCTTCCTGGATAAACTTACCAGCCACCGTTGCCAGCTCAGCCTCTTCCTCGGACGAGGAATCCTCGGTATTTTGACTGGTAGAAGATTCGGCGATCGGTGAGCTCTCCGGTGCGGTAGCGGCCTGTGCTTCCAGTTCCTTCTCGTGTTCCGCAATTTCCCTTCTGTTGAAAGTCTTGACTTGTCCACCAGGAACAATGTCCAGAACTTGATAGGCATATTGCTTAACAATATCAACGCGGTGAGTCACTAGTACGATCAACCGACCCGCAGTTAGTGGTGAGTTTTGGTCGGCAAAGATATTGCGTGAGATAGTTTCGGCGGTTTGGTGATCGAGAGCGGCGATAGGGTCATCGAGAAGTAGGATCCGACTCCTGCTATAAACAGCCCGGGCCAGAGCCACACGAGCTCGTTGACCCCCAGAAAGCCCAGTACCATTCTCCCCAATCAGGGATCTATCTCCTCCCTTAAACTTTCTGAGATCTTCCACAAGGCAACATGCCATGAGGACCTGCCAGTACCGCGCCTCATCAAAGGGAGTACTGAATAGGATGTTGTCACGTATACTCATGCTTTCAAGCCATGGCATTTGGGCACAGTATCCAATCATTTCGGCAGGGACATTCTTCTCACCAGAATGCTGGTCGAGCTCGCCCAAGATAGCTTGCAGTAATGCCGTCTTGCCAATGCCAACCTTACCACAGACCAAGGTCAAACCGGGCTCACAAACAAAGGAGATATTATCCAGCACTGTTGTGTCAGAGCCTGGCCATGAGAAAGATGCATTGCGGATAGAAATTTCCAGATTGCTCTGGTGGAAGGCAGGGGTGGCTGTTTCGTCATCCTCATTGTCGTCTTTGTCTGGCTCCAACATAAAATCCTCGATGCGACGCATGGCAACCCTGGCGTTGGTCAGAGAGGTGTAGAGGGAAGGCAGGTCGCGTAGGTTATTCTGCAACATGGTGAATAAACCAAGAGCCGGGAAGGCGATGTCGACTGTTAGAGGCCTATGCAAGATAAGCGTATAAGCGGCAAATCCAACAACAGGAAACATGTAGGAGGTTATGTTGTTGATGACGTTGATGCTTCTGTTGACAACATTGCTTTTGACGCGCTGGAACAACTCTTTCTGTCGAACTTCCATAATATGCCCAAGCCATCGGTCCTGCCAATCGTACCAGCGAAGATGACGAAGTGATTCCACAAACTGACTGGTGCGCTCGAGCTTGGCGTCGGTAGTAGCACGGCGCTCTTGCTCAACTCTTTCTAGCAAGCGCGTCATGTAATAATTCACAGCCATGCCGACGCCGATGACAATGATGCCAAACAATGAGGCAGACCCCAAGATCTTCCACAGAAGAACTATGGAAACAATGACACTGAGTGGTTTTGTGATAAGCGTTGATGCCTCCCAGAATCTTTGGGCCACCTCATACACGTCACCGCGAAGAAGGTTGAGGATTTTTCCAGTTGACGCAGGCGCCTCCTTTTCTCTTTGAGATGGGACCACGGGTTTGTGTTTGAGAGCCTGATACACCCCCCTGACCCAAGACCTGAGACTCCAGGGTTGAGAAGGTTCAGCGTCCTCGTTGTTAATATCCTCCAGGGTATCATTTTCATCTCCCAACAAGGTACTGGTCTGCGAGCTTGGCGTGGACACTTTCGCCGCAATAGTGAAGGCCTTCCGGCGCAATGTCTTGTCGTGAATCATGGTGATCATTTCGCCGCGCGATCGCTCGTAGTTGCGTCGTTCATACCAGAGTTTAAACACAGCAGAGTGAGCTTTCAAAACTCTTGCAATAAGGATGAAGCTGGCATAGACGACAGCTGCCCGGATGGCAGGAATTTCGGACATGAGTGCATTGAGAAGCTGCTTGAGTAAAACGGGCTCTGATAGCTCAGCCAATGTCTCAAATGTTCCGAGGCATGTTGTCAGGACGATATCAAGACCATTCGCTTTGAGCAACCTAACAAGTACAGTACCAGTCAAATCTCTAAAAAGGAGGTGCAGAGTCTGGTGCTGGAAGTCGGATGCCAGAAGCCAGACGTCTTTATCATGCAACTGCCTCTTGCAGGCGGTAGATATCAAGGGCGCCATCCAAGACACAGACATCCACTGCCAAAGGGTGACTATGTCTTCAGGGCTTCGTACACTGGACTCCGGCTTGGCGAAAGGCTTGCCAATCTTGGAGCTATTCAATAGCGGATCTCGCAGTGGCATGTTCAGCATGGCAACGATGGATGCTAGAGTCACGCAAATCCCTCCGCCCCAGGTTGTAAAGCATTTCCATGTCGTTTCGATGGCATCTGGGGCAAGCGTGGTAATCGTGAGTTGGAAGAAGAGAAGCGTGGCGGCGATGATAAAGAGTGACCTTCGAACAGTTCTGGGACGATCAACGAGAATGAGTAATGCCGACAGTACCTGCGCTGGCCGTCAGTACGGAGTCCAGAAATGACCTATGCCTGCCATCAAGGTATCGCATCTTACATTGGGGATGAGGGGCATGAGATGTAGCTGGATTTCACTGGGGTTTTGATGGGTCATGGCGGCACCAAATATGCTGATGAGGGCACCAGTGAAATTGAGAACCAGAAGACACAATGTCCAGCGTGTCCATATCTTCTGGCGAGAAACCGCAATTGCTCGTCGGCGCGGGAGTAGCGGAGTATCTTCGAAGCTTTCGTCGTGGTTGGCGCCGGCTTCTTCCTGATCGTGAGTTTGAAATCCAGCCTCGTCTTTTTCGGCAGTGAGGTTTCGCAGCCAAATGGGGCGCCACCGGTCGAACCAAACCAGTGCATAGTGAAGCACAAAAACCAAAAGAGAGATCCAAACAGGAATATGGCCAACGATGCCAAGACAGTGCGGTCCAAAGTTGGCGAGAGAGGGTATCTGTAGAGTTGGTGTTAGCGATGAGTTTGCGGAATAGCCTTGGGTGTCACTTGAAGGCGCCGTAAGCAGAGAAGGCTCGGATACGGTATCCGCGTGTCTTTGCCCGAAGGATATGAGAACCAGAGCAGGAACACGATGAATTATTTGCAGGCACATACCCAAAATTCCCGGCAACAACTGTAGCATGGCCATAGACCGGCTAGACCGTATGTTGCTGTGTCTATCATTTCGGTAAAGAGGATAGAACCCGTTTGGTGAGTTTCGAGGTTTTCTCGCGATGAAGATGTTTGTTGTTGGGTGTCGCTATGGCGGCTGCTGGACCCTTGCGTAGCCCGCCGGATAAGCACGAAAAGAATGTGAGATCCAAAAAGGTACGTGGTAGAAAAGACTGCTACCAGTACAGATGTATGTATAGTTTTGATGTGGTTGTTGGATAGTATTTCTTTTAGACATGACCACCTTCAGCATGCTATGTGATGTTGACGCATGCTAACGTTGCGTTGCCTCACGCAGGGCGAGGGCGTATTGAAATAAGCCTTATGGGGCCTGAATCATGCTGACCGATGCAGTACAATGAAGTTGGTGGTTTGAAAGTGTTCAGGCTCTAATGATGGTAAGACAGGAAGCAAACCAACTCAACACTTGCAGCAAGAGACGTAAAAAGACGTTGGGAGGCTGAAGAGAACAACGAACGGCAAACCTCGAATTGATGATAGAAAGAAGACAAAAAGGAAGAGGACGGCAAAAACAAAACGAAGCATTGAAGCCTGGAGAAGTGATTCGATTTGCGGGAAATAACTCCCTCTAGGCCAGTGGTCACGCCTGCCTCATAGCAACATCCTAGACTAAAGGCAGGTGGTCCTCGGGTGGTCCACAGATATCGAATCTCGTGAATGTGTTGTCCCCGCCTGGTGCGAGTTGAGGTGGAATTGAAGTTGTAGCCGAGACGCTAGAATCCCTACCTCGAGGTGGTCTTTGGCTCTCAGTGGCCCAGACCTTCCGAGAAGCACACGTTAGCGCGGGGCACCAGGCCCAGGCGAGGCCGGCAGTCCTTCGGGTACGTCTGCCCTGGGCTAGAGGAAACAGACAAACCCCGTCTTGATCCGTGTGAAAGGTTTGGGGAACTGTTGAAACCGCATCCGGTTGATGCGGTTGCGGGAATAGAGAAGGTGGTGATGCATTATAATGCCGCCGTTTAATTGCATGCTGACAGGCAACTGGCCAATAGTCTCAGGGCTTTCCGCTTCCGACCATACCTTATATAGAGAAAGTGCACAAGCCATATCAATATTTCGTCTTGTGCTGTTGTTCCCTCTCTATAATCAGAACTGGGAGTCCTTGACGCCGCCCAAATGATTTTTTTTTAGTTTTTTTTTTTTCAAAAATAAAAGAAAAAGAAAAAAAAAAAAAAAAAAAAAAAAAGCCCCCGGGGTATAGAGCCTAAGCCAAATCCATCAAGAAACCCACACCTTATGCACCTTCTATGACCTTTCGCCCCGGCTCTGGGACAGTGCGGTTGTCTCACCCGCCAGGTCCGCTGCCCCCCACTCCGTTCCCGAATATCGTTGTGCAGCATCATCCGACACTCTCCATTTTGGCGATAGCGCTTGTGTCGACATCTCCACTGGTTGGCGATCGCAACCCTGGAGCTCAGCGCGGCCCTCTTCTTCCATTTCTCTTGCTTCCTTTGGGGGTTCAGGTTCAGGCTCATCCCCAATATATACCAGATCATATGGCGATTCCCAGTTAAAGCCGCTCTTGCGTTGCTCAGTCGGATTTGACGAGGGTCTCCATTTGGACTTGTCTGACCAATCGCCCGAGTTTTCCGAGGTATTGCCCTCCTCAAGAGCGCGCGCTTCGGCTGGAGATGGTATGAGCAGCATATTGCCGTGCTGCTCTAGAATCATCGGGTGCGAGTCTTCCCTACCCCTCTTCCTCCTATATCGCACCAACAGCATTACCAGGCTCGCCAACACGGCCACGCCTGCCACGGTCGAGCCAGCAATGATACCCGCTTTTGCCCCGGTGGATAACCCATCATCTTTGTTCACCCTGCCATCTTCTGCCCGTGACGACTTGGCATGACTTCCGAACGTGGCCGTTTCCTCCGGTTCGGTTTTGACGGTGGCTCCCTTGGGTGCTGTCGATGTCATGAGAGATGTGGGCGCCGAGATCAGTGTGGAGTCTGTGGTTGAAGCCTTGGTCACTATTGCTTTAGTCGACCTTGCCGTACCAGTGAAGCCAGCAGCCGAATAGTACTGTTCTTCGCCAACGTTCAAAGGCGTATGGTTTGCGGCACATTTGGATTTTAACGTGCCATACACTTCGGCAAGGTCTCCCGGGTCCGACTCTGCCAAACACCTGGCCGTGCCCGTAACGAAATTTCCTCCATTGTTGCAGAAGCACGAGGTCGCCTCAGCTGGGGCTCCCGCCGCACAGTTGGATGTAGTGGATGCTTGATTCAAACAGTCATATGCATCGACCGGATAGTCGAAGAAGTCGATATTGACAGCGGCGCATGGGATGGATGTGAGAACAAGCGCAATCAGAGCTGGCGGGAGGATTGACAACTTATGCAATCCGAGCATTGTGTCCGAGTCTGTTGGGACTCAAGCAATGTGTTGGGTACGAATTGCTCGCAAGGCCGAAGAGGGGTGGTTAAGTGACTCTGGAAAGCCGACCAAGTTGGAAAAAGAAATGGAACCAAACCCATCCCCAGCGACTATAGAGTTGTCAAAGAGACTTGAAGCTCAAAAGCCTCACGAACGGCGAGCACAAACGAAAGACAAAATCCACCCAGTAGCGAGCGTGTCGAGAAGGAGCATGAGTTAAATAGCTTCACTAGAAAGGGAGAGGGAAAGCATAAGAAGCAGGAAGCTGACGAGAAGGACAACGACGACGACAACGACGACGCGGTTCAAGACGCTAAAAAAACCCATGCATCCACCACCTTGGGGAGATGGGTCCCCAGATCCCCATCCCCATCTCGTGCAACGGTGCAGCACCCCTGCTTGGGGCTGGGGAGAGGTCAAGAAGCGAGCTTCACCTGCCTTGCTGGGCGGGCATTGCGGCTGAGGCGTTGATCTTGGGTTAGGCTCGGCCTGCTGGGTCAAGGGTCTTTTTTCCCATTTCGGTGTTAGGCCCTATAGGCCCGCGGCTCATTGAACGGCGGTCTTGTTGAGCGGAAAGCGACACCTCGACGAGTTGAACTCGTTGCGCCATCCAAGCCCGGTGTTTCTATGCCAATTTCGGATGCTTCTCCCCACTTGGTTGCCATCTGTTGGCTGTCGGCGATTTGGCTTTGGCGCTTTCAGTGGGCGATGAATGACGTGAGATTTGGTCTCCAGTATCTTGAGACTTGAAGGGATAGCAAAGATTCCCACTTCAGAACCGTGATGTTTCCCAGATAAAGTCGACCTCGCGACTGGATCGCGGTCCCGGATCCTCGACGGCCGGACAACCACCTCCCTTTCTGTTCAACTCGGCATTTTGACGGCGTGCAACAGTGTACAGCATGCTAGGCATGCCGTCAATTCGCTGCGGCATCACCAAAAGGCGCACTGGGAATCCAGGAGGTAGCCGCCATGCCGGAGTACTCACATGACCCGACCCCATACCCAAAGCTTCCTGACCCAAGTGGATACGCCAAAACCGACCCCATACTGTAGAAAATCTCTCAATTAACTATTACCCTTTTAATACGTCGTATATATACCTTTTAACTTTCTTTATAGAAAAATAACCGGCGCTTTTAATCCTAACAAACGAAACTTACCTACGAATAAGAAATATACAAGTCCGAACAATATTAACCCGAATTTACCCTTCTATAAACCTTCTACGATAATTCATAATAATACTTATATAATCTATCCTTAATTAATTTTTAATTTATTATATTCGATGTAAAATAAATATTTACTCTATTTCCAACGTTAATACTTTAGCTATTATTACTAGACTTAGCTTAACCGAATGGAATAACAAAGTATTTAATAGACCGTCTACTATATTCGAATTATAATAAATTATTAATATAATAATTAAATTCAATAAATTAGAGGATTTAAAGGATATAACCCCTCCTAATATTATAATACTTAATAACCTCCTAGTAAATTTTGCGTTATATTATTAATATATTTTAAATATATTCTATATTAATTAATAATTAATTTTATAATATTAATTATATAAAGGTTGAGATTATAGGCCTAATATTTATTTTATTTGATAGTATTAATTAATATTCTATCTTTATCGAAACAATATACTATATAATTACTATTCTAGAATACCCCGAGTTTTTTACTTTTAGTATAATATATATTATAAATATTAATAATTTAACCGAAGATTAAATTAAAGCTCTGTAGAGCAAGGTATGTAACGGTAGTATTTTAAAATAAAATAGTAATATAAATAAGGTTAATATTTAATTACTCTCTTATATTCTAGATCTAGTATTATATTGTAAGGAAAATATTTGCGAAGGAAACTTCCTCTAATTATTTAAATAACGCTATCTATTATTATATTATATATAAATATATTAGTATTAAATATTATAAATATTTAGACTATAGAGTTTGGTAGGCGTATAAATAAGGGTTTATACTTATAGTCGATAAAGAAATTATAAACCTTTTATTTTAAATCCGCCTTTAATAGGATAAAGTCCTTTTAGTTAGGCGAATTATTAAATATAAATTTATTTATAATTTATCCCCGGCTTTAATTATATTATTGTAACTTAATTAATAATAATTATTATTTATTAATATAATTTTTATAATTAATTGGGTATGGACGGTTAGAATGCGTTGGGAGATATAGGGTTGTAAAGAATTGAAGCTATTTTATAAGTTTGTTTAGTATATAAGTAAAATATTTCCTATCTAAAATATACCTTTTATAATTAATATTACTTATATTTTTAATTTATTTCTATTAAAATAATTACTAATTATATTCGCTATTAGTTAAAGTATTAAAATTCGAAGCCAGGAGAGAGGATATATTTTTTTATTAGCCTCCCTAATAATTTTAATCGATTTTAATTAAATATTAAGCTAATAATTGAAGGTTATTTAAAGGACTCTATATTTAAATTATTATATATTGAGGCGTATATTAAAATATATTCTATATTAGTAAGAAAGGTTAGATGTAGTAAATAGATTTTTCCTCTTTATTTTAAATACTTATTAAAGATTTATTAGTGATAAATTAAAAACTGAATATTTATAAGAATATAGTACTATCCAAATTCGAAACTACGATATTATTATTAATATTTATATTCTAACTAATACTAAAACTATTCTATATATCGTTATAACCTCCTATAGTTAATATACGTACCTATTACCACCTTCTAGTAAAATTCTTTAATATATTATTAATGATTTAATAAGGGTTTTATAGAGAATAGGAGACTTTAATATAATTTAGAGTAAGTAAATTCCTAATATTAATAATATATTAAAGATTAATTATTAATTAATTTATAATTTAACGACTTTAACCCGCAATTTATATTTTATTTAATTTCTTAGCGAATATAGTATAAATACTATTAATTAAGTATATATAAGTTTTAATAATATTAATAGGGTTCGGTTAGTAATTAAAAAGTATTGTACTTTTATTTAGCTATTGGGAATTTCGAGTTTTAAAATTATAATGTACGAATATTAATTAAAATACTAAGATTTAAATATTCGTATAAATTTATATATTAGAGTTTTATTAAGAATAAATCGTTAAGTTTTTTTATTAAATAATATATTTAGAAAATTTTTAACAATGGAATTAATTTTATAATTATTTATTTCTTTAAAGAGTAAGTAGAATTCTTTTATAAAGGTCTTATTAAGTCCTTTAAATTGGATATAAATTATAAGTATTTTTTTAGTACGTAGAATAGAGAAGTTATATAGGGCTTCTACTTAGAATAATTAAAGCAATATAAATTACCGAATTATCTTGGATCTATCCCTAATAAATCCTTAATAAATCTTTAATTACTATAGCTTTCCCCCTTATTCGTATTCTAATTAATGCCGATTCGCCGAATATATACGCCCTTACATTTAAAACTATATTTGAGATTTTCGAAGTTAATTATAAATATATAGTAAAATAGTAGGAGTTGGACGGAGAGGGTTTTTATAGTATTACTATAAATTAAGACTTTAAAATACTTATAGGTAGATTTTTTATTTAATATTCTATTTTTAATATATTTATATTAATTTTTAATTAATTAATATAGGGTTTTTAATATATATTTTTAAAAGAGATTATTATTATCGTAGGTTTGTATACTTTATTAATTGTATAATACGACTTTATTATATTTATTTTAAGCGTGGTATTTAAAGATACATTTAGAATAATCTTTAATTATAATAATAAATAGAAGGTTTATTTATATATAAAACCTTTAACGAATATATATAATTTTATTACTATTTGAAATATAAATTGGGTTTTATTATTTTAGATTTATATTAAATTTTCAAATATTTATATTATAGAGAATTTATAAGAGGAAGTTCGGAATTAAGTTTAGAATAAATTTATTTTAATTATTTGCATTAAGTATAATTACATTTGCTTAGATATAGACTAAGAGATATAGGATATATTGTAATTAAATATTAATATAGTCGAAATACTATATTAATAATTCTATTATTAGAACGATCGGTTTATATCGCTTCTTTTATATATTTATATATATATTTATTATAACCGGGGATTTATTATTAATATATTTAAAATTTACTATTAATATATTTTTATTAACCTATTGGTAGGAATATAAAATTCGATTATACTTTTATAGTATACAAGGAAATTTAGATAAAGTATAGTATTAAATTTGGATATTAAGTTAATTTATTAATAGACCGATTAAATTATAATATAACGAGGGTAAATAGTAGGTTAATAGTCTATTAATAATTTATTTAATATAGTAATAATTAATTTTATATAAATAAATAAAAGAAGGATAATATTTTAATAGGAAGAGAGAAAATAATTAAGAAGGTACTAGTTTATTTCAATTTAATAATACTTTTTCGTTCCTTAGCTTTTCCTTTTATTTTTATTCTATTAAATTAAGTAGGATTAATATTCAATAATTCGCTAATTATATTATTATTTTAAATTTTTAGTAATTATTAGTTATTTATATAGGTTTTATCCTTTAGCGTTATAATTTTAAAGTTAATTAAGTTTTTATATATTTTAATAAAATACAATAAATTTAATATTTAAATTAGATATTTAATATTATAAATACTTACCTTGTATATACGAATATTAATTTAAAGGGTAAGAGAGGTATAGGTTATAGAGAAGGATAGAGTATTTGTACGCGCCTTTGAATTTAAAATTTTTTAAATAAAGTAAATTAAGGTAGAGAGAGTATATAAGAAGGAATGTAAAGAGGCGGCCGAAGTGGAAGTTGTAAGTACTAAAATATAAAAAGAAGTTATTAAAATATAAATAAGATTGTAGGAATTGACGAAGGGGGGTAAATAAGTAGGAGTCGGGGCGTGTTCGCCTAAAGTATTAATTTACTATACGAATATTAGTAATTTAATTAGGATAGATGTCTATATAAAATCCTTATTTTATAGGATCTTTTAATAATAGAAATTAATTAATAGTTATTAGGCAATTAATAAAAGACCGATTATTTATATATTTATAAGGGTATATTATTAAGTAAATAAAGATTTAAATATTATATAATTTAAAGTTTGTAAGTTATATAGGGACCCGGATTAATAATTATTATATAGTAAAGTATAGTAAATATATATTTAGGGTAAATTACCCTTATAGAACCCTTTTATATATAGTTCGTTCTACTTTTATATATATAAGAAATAGTATATAAATATTAGTATAATAATTATACCCGACGAGCAATTGTAATATATAATAATAAAGAATATTTAAGGGGAT